GGGGAATTTTAGCTCAGAGTGGACTGAACGTGTAGGGGAGGAGAGGAAGGAGAGACAGGGGAGCAGGGGCGACCTCACCCCAGGTGTGTGGTGGGGTCCCTGGCCTGGGCCAGGCTTCTGTGGGGCCAGCCTGGGGGCCTGACCCACCGGTTTCTGCCCCAGCTGGTGCCGAAGCTCTCCAGAAACTACCTGAAGGAAGGCTACATGGAGAAGACGGGGCCCAAGGTGGGTCTGCAGGCGGGTGGGGTGCTGCCGGGCACACTCCAAGGTCAGCTGCTTCTCCCTGTTGCCTGGGTGGGCAGGGACCCGGCACAGGGCACAGTGAGGCAGGACCTGCCAGGTGCCTCCCGAGTGCTATCAGGCACAGGTCGGTCCTCTTGGCCCTTTGCTGGGTGGGAGTTCCAGCCAACCCAGGACCACCCTGGGCTTTGGGTGCTGGAGCTCTGGGTCAACCTCAGCCTTCTGGCCCCAGGCCCCTTCATGCCATTTCCTGCTGCCTGGGGATGGAGGACTCTGGTGGCCCCCGAGATGGGATGAATGCTCAGTGGGGACATGTAGGTAGGGGTCCAGGGAAAGAGGAGCAATGGTGAGGACTTCATGCCTCTGGTCGGTGGGCAGAGCAGGGCCCCGCTGGACACATGTATGAGTGGACAGTGAATGGCCCCAGCCCCCTGTGTGAACTGTGGCCAGCCAGGGCAGGGGCCTGGTGGGGTTGGCCAGCTGGTCACCAGTCCTCCCTGACTGACAGCAAACAGAGGGCTTCCGGAAGCGCTGGTTCACCATGGATGACCGGAGGCTCATGTACTTCAAAGATCCCCTGGTAAGGAGGGTCCAGCTGGCAGCCACCCACAGAACCCGCTGCTTCCCAGTATGGCCGTGGCGGTGTTGATGGGGGTGGCTCCCAGGGTCCTGGCCTCAGCCTCGCCCAGTTCTGGGTACGGTGGGGCTTGGGGCAGGGAGGGTGGCCAGCTCCAGCTTGGTCCCCGCTGTAGGACGCCTTTGCCCGAGGAGAGGTCTTCATTGGCAGCAAGGAGAGTGGCTACACAGTGCTGGAGGGACTCCCACCGTCCACCCAGGGCCACCACTGGCCACATGGCATCACCATTGTCACACCTGACCGCAAGTTCTTGTTCACCTGCGAGACGGAGTTGGACCGGAGGGAGTGGGTGGAGGCCTTCCAGAAGGTGGTGGACAGGCCCATGCTACCCCAGGAGTACGCAGGTGAGGGCTGGCCACTGAGGTGAGGCCCCAGGCCCTGTGTCCACACTGTGGGATGGCCTCTGGCTGGACGGAACCCCCCAGGTGGGTCGTGCGGGGAAGGCTTGGGCTGAGCTGACCAGCTTGACCAGGCTGTCTGTCCCATCTCCAGTGGAAGCCCACTTCAAGCATAAACCCTAGCGAGAGACGGTCCATCCAGAGGCCTGAGGACACTGGACTCGGGACGTGTTGGCCAAGGATGCAGCTGGACGGGGAGGCCTTCTCCGGGGCAGCCCTGGGCTCAGCTGGGTGGAGTMTGAGCTTTAACCACTAGGAGGCACTTGAACCTCATCAAAGGCCCATCTGCCTGTCCCAGCCCAGCCATGCTGCTGCTGCTGCTGACCACACCGGCTGACCTGCTCCTCTCCCTGCCCCTGGACGCCTCTCCTGATGGCCCTGCAGGGTCTCCCAGCTCAGGAGCAGCCCCCACGAACTCCTGGATACCTGCCCAACCTGAAGGGACTTCTGGGCCTCTGAAGTGGACCCTGTGTGCTGGGTGGCTGTGGGCAGCAGTGGTAGCAGTGGGCTGGCTGGGTCACTGGGGACTCTCGGACCTGCCGCATGCCCCCCTCCCTTCCCCCGTTGTGACAAGTATTTATTGGGTATCTGCTGTGTGTCAGCCATGGGTCTGGGGCCAGCAGAGGCATGTGGCCCTTGTCCTCAGGGGCAGTTTCCCAGGAGAATGGTGTGTGCGGATCCTGGCCCTGCCAGCTGGGGCCCTGGCTTCGGGCAGGAGGCCGGAGGGGTTCACCAGGGGCTGCCAGGTGCCATGAGGGGACCTAGCCACACCATCTGCTCATGGGCATCTGTGCCCAGCTTGGTGCTCAGCCTTGACCAGTGATCCATGCCCACCGGCCCTGACCTTTGAGGACGATGGCTGGCGCCACCAAGAGGCCCCCAGAGGCAGGGGTGACCCTGTACCCCTCTGCCCCTGGGGCCCTGCTTGCTGCTGGCTGGCCAGCAGTTAAAGCCACCTCATATTTATTTCTCACCTCGTCTCCTTCCGTGCTGCACTCTGGCCGTCCAGGACAGCTGGGCTCCCTTTCCATGGGACCCCTGCAGGGCAGGTCCTGGCCAGCTGGACGGGCTTGGTGGAGCTCTTTGGTGGTAGATGCATCCAGGGGTGACCTGGGTGACTCCAGCCCTTTCTAGCAGAGTCATGCCCCGGAGGAGATGGGGGAGGGTTCCTAAGGCCGGGCACCCTGCTGCCCTGTGTCACATCCTGGAATAAAGTGTGGCTCTGGTGTGGTCCCATCTATGTGTTGAAGGCTGGGGTGAGAGGGGGCTGAGCTGGGAACACCTGCCCTCCATCTCGCAGATGGAAGACTCCCTGTAACAGGCCCATGGGCGTCAGCCCGTTTGACCCAGCCCCCAGGCCAGGTTCAGATGGTCTGAGCTGGCATATCCAGAAAAGGCTGGTGGCCCACCCTGGGCTCACTGAGGCCCAGTCTCTGTGTCTTCCCAGGGGCCCCTTCCTCAACACCTCTGCTCCCACACCTGCCCCAGGCTAGGTCTCGGCCTGCAGTGGAGGCCCCGAGGTGTCCCTTCCCAGCAGGTCCTCCAGGGCCCAGCCCCCCTCTAACTTGTCTGCAGGTACCTCTGGTAAGGTCCACTCTGGCCTGGGSCACCCTGCACCCAGCCTGGGCTCCCCCCACCCCCTCCCACTTCTAAATGAGGAAACTGAGGCCTTGGGGAGGCAGGAGCCACTCTGCCTGGAGTCCCCTCCCTCCCTCATCCCACCACAAGAGTCACTGCTCACTGCCCTGCGGAGCTGCAGCTTGACAGACACCTGGGTTCCCAGAGGTGGAGACTGGGCCCTGAGACCACAGCACAGGTCCTGGGTCGCACCACTGTAGGGCCAGCCCTGGCCAGCCCTCCTGGGGGATCTGGACCTTCTTCCACTATGGGCACGTGCACATGCTGTGTTTACCGTGTGTCCAGGTTCACGGGAGCTCATGAGTGTGCGCCTGTGGGTGTGTGTGCTGTGTGCACGTGTGTTCTACCAAGAAAACCTGCACGTTTTTATGAGAAATCACAGAACAACTTTACAGTTGGTGAGGAAAGTTTTCCAAACATGGCAGGAAATCTACAGCAATGGAAGGACAGTCACTGGCTCCACAGGCTGTCCCTTGGTGGGGACAGAGCTGCCTGGGCACTGGGTGCCCTGCCCAGCACAGCTAAGTCTAACCAAGGGCTGTAGAAATGGTGCCATATCCCCGGCCAGAGTGTCATGGGCATAGAGCAAATGCCACAGTAAGCACAGCACACTACTTTGGTCGGTCCTGAGGTCTGTGTGAAGGAGGCCCACGGGAGGTGGGTGGCATAGCAAAGATGTGTACAGGTGCACACCTCTGGCATTCTCCGCATTCACCTAAAACAAAATCTGAATTGTGCTCAAACTGTTTCCAAATCGTCAATCACATGCCAATCTTGTGACTTCCTTCCCGACCTCTGGGACTCCCTCAGGATTGCCCGCACTGACAACCCCTGGTGTTTCCCTCCTGGTACCTGTAGCAATGGGCTCCAGTGGAACAGCACAGTCCACTTCCCTGCCACCAAGGGGCCTGCTCACTGAAGCTGTGGGGCCCACACCTGGTGCGCATGACTTCATAAAACCACACGTTTACATCTACAGTCGGAGCCTGTGGATTCTGACACTTTCCTGATACTGGCCACTTCTGCACACAGGCCCTGGACTAACCCAGGCAGGTGCTCGGACGGCACACACCACCCCGCCCCCCCCCCCGGGGGGGGGGCGCTCACAGGCCTGGCTCAGACATCAAGAGCCACAAAGGCTCTGGACAACCCAAGGCAGGGGAGGGCCAGGAGCAGCAAAGGGCCACAGTGGACCCACCCCACCCCACCCAAGGCCCTACACCAGCAGGTGGGGGGCTGGACTCCGAGACCCCACAGCAAGCCCCATGACCGGCCCCCAGAGCTCATTCAGAAAGGACCAGCGCTGCAAAGCCCAGTATAAAGGATTTATTTATACTCAACAATTGACAAGCCTTCCTTTAAATTCCATTTTTACAGTAAATAACGTACATCTCCCTTCTTCCCATGCAGGATCACTGTGTATTAATCTACAACTCTTAATCGTGAAAAAATAAAGTGTTTCCCTTTATAATTATACTGGTAACATGTGAAATATTATAAGTGATAAAGGACAGATTTGCTCATTCCTGGACTGCTTATTTGGTTAAAACCTGAAACGTTAGGTCAAAGAAATCCATCACCCAATAAAAATAAATACTGCATCACGAAGGACGTGGAAAGTTCTCAGCACCCCTCTTTAAAAGGGCGTTTCTGGAGAGGCAGCGCGGTGCCTGCGAGAGCAGCAGGGCTGTGGCTCGGGACTTGCACAGAGGAGCTTTGCTGGCCATGTCAGGGCACCTCCGGGGCCACAGCCACGGCCAAGGACCATGCAAGCATCGGTCTGGCCAGCTGCTGCCCAAGCTGCAAGGAGCCCACAGCTCACCCGTCCCATCTGTGAGGGGCAAGTACACCATGATTGCAAAACGACCCCGTGTTCAAAACAATAAAAGATAAACGAGAAACCTGCGCACGTTTACAGGCCCTCAGGAGGCTGGCTCAGTCCCCGTCTTGGTGGCCACTGCCTCCTCTGCATGCCACAGGCTGTGCTGGGCGCCTGGAGCGGGGATGCTGGGCGCAATCGGTCTAGTCACTGACGATAGGCTGCCTGTCATCCCGCAGCCCTCCCCAAGGAACCACAGACAAGGATGGCAGAGGGACGCCGCAGCAAGGCCTGCGCTTTATTGTGATTGAGCTGAAGGGACACGGCCGCCCGCAGAAGCCTGGGCCTCAGTCTCAAGTCCTGGCCACACAGCATCAGGCGGACTGTGCAGCCCTCAGCCACCTTACATAAATAGGGACAGACGCCACACAGGCAGCCCCGCCAACCACAGACCAGGAGCCTGCTGAGTGTGAGGAGCCACGTTCTGGGCCTGGCTCCTGAAACTGTCCGGTGGTGCCGACCGTGGGCGTCTCCATGCAGGCCGGCAGCTCAGTCCAGCTCGATGGGGCTGCTGTCATCCTGGCTTTCCTCTCCCTCCTCCTGCTCCGAGGAGCCCATGAGGCTGCTCAGCAAGTTCCCTGGAAGGAGAGACAGTGTGGCAACAGTGGCACGGGTTCACGCGGCTGCTGGCCCTGCCACCAGAAGCCTTTGGCTGTGCCAGGCCTCCAGCATGCCGTGGGGGACAAGCAGAGCCTGGTGAGCCTGTGCCCAGGAACCCCATGAAGGTTCCCCAAGGACGCAGTGCTGATGTGCAGTGACAGTGCTCAGGCCTGCGTGTGAACTGTGATGGGAAACCCAAAGCATCCACCAACGGGGAACAGCAGTCCGCCAGTGACGTCACGGGCAGACTGTTCAGCCAGGAGAAAGCTGCGCAGTGGCCACACACTGCACCCCAGAAACAAAGCAGAGCCTCAAAGGCTACTCTCAGTCACCTGCACATGCCATCACTACCAACAGGTGCCACATCTAACTGCAAACTCAGTCTGAGAAGTCCCCTCAACCCCATGAGGGGCAAAGTGCAAACCAGAGGTTCCGCAGTCCTCAGTGAACCACAGCCTAAGGCAGGCTCCTGGCACCTCCAGCTCCACCTCGGCAGGACCGCACACTGACTGCGCAGCTGGGGACAATGTGGAGCCAGGAGTGCAGCAGAAACAGCCTGAGGGACAGGGAACCACACTGTGCTCCCAAGCTGAGACACATGCATGTGACATGCTACCTCCTGGCCCAGGCCACGATGGGCAACGTGGTGCCATGCCACAGGGGCCCAGCATGGATAGCAGGGCTCTGCCTCCCACGCACCATGGTCAACACACACAGCTGAAGGCCAGAGGGAAAGGCAGAACTCCACTCCAGACAGACGAGAGCCAAGGGGAAGGAGAAAAGTGCGCCCGTCATGGAGGGAGAACAAATGTGAAGCGGCGTCTCCTGAGAAGCCCTGGCCCTGGAGCAGTTAGGCAGTCTCCATCCGAGCCACACGTGTGCTGGCCAGCGCATGTGGCACGACGGTCACACAGTCACATAGGAATACTGCCCGACACAGTTGTGTGCACATGGGGCCTAACCATCATGTGGTGTGCGCTTTGGCAAGTAGAACATGTGAGGTGCGGCCTGCGGCCACCTGCGAAGTAAATAGCAGCAGGTGTGTGTCCCGGCACCTGCAGAGCTGCCTCTGCCGGGAGTGAAATGGCTGGGCTGCCTGCCGGCAGGAGACCAGACACGGAACCGAAGGGACGCAGGCGCTCTGTACTTCTGAACCCTGTGAAATGTGTGTGATTCACTCTTCAAGTAAAATTAAAACACTTCAAGTATCAGGATTATAAGCCACGCTCTGACAGAGCACTGCACGGCCTCGCCCCACAGGCGCACTCACAAGTCCAGCCTGCCTGGGTGCAGACTGCCCGACTTTCAGTGGCAAGTCAGGAGGTGGCTTCCACCGCAGCCCTTGGAGAGGGTGCCCTGCAGATAGCCATTCACAGCTCAATTGTGGAATTATGCCAAGGACTCAGAAGCGGGCCAGCAGGGGGCCAGCGAGGAACCCACTGCAGGCCGCAGAGCTTACCTAGCAAGCCTCCGTAGGAGGATGTCTGCTTGGGCGGCACGCCAAAGAAGAGTTGGCCTATCCTGTCGAGGTACTGCAAGAGGCAGAGCAGTAGTGGGTCACTGAGTCTGTAGGCCTGGCAGAGCCACCCCAGCCCTCGGGGTCCCCAGGGGCCACCCACGCACTAAGGCTCCCTCCTCTTGGCAGCTGCCTCAAGCCTGACAGTGAAAAGTCCTCACCTCGTTGTACATTGGGTCCCTCCGGAGGGACGGCTGATACTGCTCACACAGCACCGTGAACACGGCCAGCTTGCCGCTACAATGACACCAAACAACCAGATGTGTGTCCCAGTGAGCAGCACGTGCAGCCCTGCCCAGGCCCCACCTGCGCACACGGCAGCCAGACTCACCCTTCCAGGGCCAACAGCAGGAACCAGATGAAATTGAGCAGGGGCTGGACGAATGGCGGCCCATCCTCGATCGACGGGTGCTTCTGCGTGTAGGTTGTGAAGACCACCAGTGCACTAGTCTTGTTTTTCAAACAGAGAAACCTGGAAATGAGAACATGCTGGTGGGTGGGAATACTGCAGGAAGACTGGTTTCTATGGATGCTTAGGAGGGCGTGCATCCCCTGCGCTGCTACCTCGGTCCACACCAGCAAGGGTACAGCTTGGCAGGATCTAGAGGGCACCACAGCTGTGGCCAAGGGGTCAGGCAGGACTGCATCCTGGTGCTGTCCCTCAAGTACACCAACGCCATGGGTTTTTACACTTATGCGAGAAGCATATTAAGCCTTGGAAGGAGACTCAGCTGCTGAAGGTCAAAAGGCTAAGAAATGGGGCCAGAACCTGAGCCCACATCTGCTGAACCCAGTGGAGCGTGGCCTCTTTACACCTGTGCATCAGAGCATGTGCAGGCACCCGGGTCCCAAGTGGCCCACAGTCTGATGCTTCGTGGGGTGTCGGACACACCTGGATTCCACTCAAGAAGGACATCCCTCAGGCAGCTCCTGAGAGGTCAGGGAGAAAGAACTCAGAGGCAGTGAGCCAGGGTCAAGCCCAGCCCCGAGAGGACACTGCACCATGCCCGGCCAAGCTGGGTCAGGGAATCTTAGATTCTAAACGACTCATTTTAAAGTCACAGATGTCAACAATGACAAGTGCATGGCAGGGCTCTGCAGCTGTGGATGAAGTTAAAGCACCTTGGGCCTCTGAGCCACCTGTGTGGAGATGCAGTTGAACTTGATCACAGGGAGAGTCTGGAAGGGACAGTTCCTGGCTGACGTGTCCTGTGTCAGTGAGCAGCTGGAAGGCTCTGTCAGCTCTAGTACAAGTTTCAGTACTTTCAAGATCAGCGATGGGACAGGCAGGCCTGGCAGAGCAGATGACAGGCCCTCCTGGCAGAGGAGGGTGCAGCCTGTCCACACGCTAAAGGGATCGAGACTCAAGGAAACAGCTGTGAAGACAGCCCCTGAAAGCATGCTCCTGCTTCTCCAAGTTTATGACACCTCGACAACTCCTATACACAGTGGTCAAGGTGACAAGTGAGCTCAGTGGTCAGCTCCTGCAAACCCTACACTCCCTCTAGGCATGTTACAGTCAGAGGATGTTGTGGCCCACTTGAGGCCACCTCTGGAAGCAGGGTACCGACACCACAAAGCCATACTGAATACCTACTGAAGCACCGCCTGGGCCACGAACATGTCCACCTCACTGCGGAAGCCCCGGGCGGTGGAGTACTCCACTAACATGTTAGCGCAGCCCTCGCCGTCAGTGGAGTGCAGGAAGTGATACCGAGACTCGCAGTAGTTTTGTTCTGCAAAGCGGAAAGAAAAAAAGGGAGACAGACATGTCACAGAGACTGCTGAAGGCTCCACCTTCCCTGCTCCCCAAATGTGCTCCACGTGCACACCCAACGCACAGCGACCCAGGTGAACACCAGTGATAAGGCTCATCTGACCACAACAGGGCTACACACACGAACACCCCAACTTCCTTGTGCTCAAAGAACAAATGCAGAAAGCTGAAGAGCAGAAGGCTGCCCCAGCAAGACCTCATTTCTGCAAGCTGTGTGAAGCTGCTCCCGTCAACATAAATGCACATGAGGTGGGACAGTAAAAATGACTAATATTTGATTCATCTGATTACTTGAAGGTGCCTGATTGACGGATGCTTCTGGGCAGGCACTGTGAAGATTGCCAATGCACTGCTTTTCTTTTATAAACAAGCACCTTAAGACGGGCGCAGTGGTGCACACCTGTAATTCCAGTGACTCAAGAGGCTGAGGCAGGAGGATCCCAAGTTCGAGGCCAGCCTCAGCAACTTAGTGAGACCCTGTCTCAAAATAAATAAAAAGGTCTGGGGATATGGATCAGTGGTTAAGTGCCCCCTGGGTTCAATCCCCAGTACAAAACAAAACCAAACTAGCAACTTAAAAACTTAAAAGAACCTAAAAAAAAAAAAAAAAAAAAACCCTAAAAGTTGAGCCCTTCCAAAATAGAACATTGAAGCCCTTCTCTCCCATAGATCCCTGACACCACAAAGGACCCTGTGGGTCACCTGATTCTTTTTTTTCTTTTTTCTTTTTTTGTACCAGGGATTGAACCCAAGAGTGCCTAACCACTGAGCCACATCCCCAGCCCTTTTTATTTGTTTGAGACAGGATCTCACTAAATTGCTTAGGGCCTCACTAAATTGCTGAGTCTGGCTTTGAATTTGTGATCCTCCTGCTTCAGCCTCCCAAGCTGCTGGGATTACAGGCATGCCCCACCACACCAGTTGGGTTACCCAATTCTAACACCTGCTCACACTCCCTTCCACTCCACTCTGGGCTTACTAACCTCATAAGAGCCCCCTTCCCACCTCTGACCTGGTACCATCCTAAGAGTCACTCTCCCACCCACCTCAAAGGGACTGACTCTGGATCCCTGTCCCCCCAAGCTGCCTTCATGGCAGTCAGAACTAGGAGGAGTCAGGTTTCCACTGTCTCTTGTTGGACCCCTGAGCAATCTTCCAAGGTGACCTTTTGGTTTTGGACATCCACATGAGAAGATTACTGCATACCGAAGCCCAAGCACTGAAGTCAATTCTTGTTAACATAGTGACGCTGCTTACTGTGGGGACAGCAGCCCCACTGAGCTGGTCCTGTTCCCAGCAAGTGCTGAGTATACTGCAGAGCCACCATGACCTAGGGACAAGCACCTCACCCCACCACCAGAGGAAGTCACCAACACTGGCTTGTTCTCAGGCGGGTCTCTAGACTCTGCTCCCCCCGCCACACAGGGGACACTGGTGCCTCCTCCAGCCAGGGCTACCAGTGCCTGGCAGGCAGGGGCTGCCAATTCCCTTTGCCAACAGGACCTGGCCCATGGTGAACACTCAGATTTGTCTGCTTGGTAGATGAAAGGGCATAGTGCAGCCCAGGTGGTTGACACCCACCTATCCAATGATTGTGCCACTCACTAGACTGCAGCTATTCCCAAGAGGCCCTGAATCCCCAGGGCTTCAGAAGAGCTGCTCTGTACCCTGCCATCTCCATTGCCGGCCAGTGTAGCCTTCCCATATGTCGACAGTCACAGGCCAAGGCCTAGAGAGCCAAAGCACCAGGGCCCTAGATACCAGTTGTCCTCAGGAACACCACCGAGGAGGAAGCCTGTCATAACCTGGCAAATTTGTCATTCAGATCACAGAAAACCTTTACTGAGGGCTTCTTCCAGTACCTGAGCAGAGACYTGGAGCACAGACGCTGACCGCCTGAAAGAAAACACCCAAGATCCCACCCTACGGGCCAAATAATGCCACAAACACTTCATCAGAAAAAGAACTGTTGAGAAAAGAACCAAAGAACGAGGCCATGGAGGGCTGCTGCAGGAGGAAGAGTGGAAGGGACAGGCGGTCTAAGCAAGGATCTGAGTGTTTGTAGGGGCTGGAGATTAGAGCATGAAAAGATGGCAAAGCAGGCCTAGTGTCCTGCTGCTGCCCAGAGCAGTACAGCTCCACTGGGCAGCTCAGTACAGGGCAGAAACGACTGGCCTAGCCAGGGGAGGCAAGTGGCCAGCCTTGCTGCAGAGCTGCCTACCCCTTGATGGTGGAGGACCCCAGGCCTACCTTTCCACAGCGTGAGGGCCAGCAGCTGGTGGAGCCGGGGATGGCCCAGTTTCCCGGACCCTCCACTGGACCACTTCAGGGCTCTGGACACAAAAGCCACTCGCTCCGGAGAATTTGGATCCATCAGACTAAATACTTTAGCCAGATTTTCTGAAAACAACACAAACAGATCCTCATCCCAAGGAACACGAGGGAACTGGGCAGCGGCCACAACCGTAATTCAGTGATATGGGAGGCTGAGGCAAAAGGATTCCAAGTTTGAGGCCAGTATGAGCAATTTAGCCAGACCCTGTCTCAAAATAAAAAATACAAAGGACTGGGGGTATGGCACAGTGGCAGAATGCTCCTGGGTTTAATCCCCAGGACAAAAATAAAACAAAATAAAAAAAACCAAAACCCTCAAAAAACAGAGGGAACATAATGCTGTTCTTTGTATTGTGCATCTTCGAAAAACAAATTTAAAAAAAACTATTTAACTCCAGCTGGATGCAGAGGCTCATGCCTATAATGGCAGCAACTCAAGAGGCTGAGGAAGGAGGATTTCAAGTTTGAGGCCAGCCTTAGCAATTTAGCAAGGCACTAATAAGCAACTTATTGAGACTGTCTTAAGATTAAAAAAAAGGGGGCGGGGTGCTGGGATGTGGCTCAGTGGTTAATGTCGCTGGGTTTAATCCCTGGTACCAAAAAAATAACTTATTTATAACTTCAAAAGAAAGCAAAGAAGGGCAGGGGTTGTGGTCAGTGGTAGAGTGCTTGCCTCACATGTGTGAGGCATGGGGTTTGATTCTCAGCACCACAAATGAATAAAAGAAAGGTCCATCAACAACTAAAAAAAAAAAAACCCTGAAAGAAAGCAAAGAAGCCACTGATGAGTTGATGATGTCCCCCATGTGTGTCCTGTGGGTTCTAGGGCTACCCAGAGCCACTCCAACTGACCCCTGTCTGCTAATGCTGCATGCCCCAGAATGCCACAAGGAAGGACAAGTACCTTTCATCTTCGTGACCTACCTGGGTCATGCTAGGAAGGGTGGGCTGTGGTGAAGAGCTAGCCCTGAAACAAGCTAGGGAGGGGCTTTTGCAGCAGACAGGGGTCCAGTGTCCCCTCCTCCAGCCATGTGAGCAGGAGAGGCAGTGGGGTCTCTCTCATCTTCCATCAGGTCCCAGAAGGGCTTTACCAACTGCACGCTCACCCATAGGGCAGACCAACAAGCCTGGTCTCTGGTCACAGGGCACCCACCTCTCTGACTGCCACAGCAGGGTCAGGACCTCATCATGCTCTACACGTCCTGCTATGTGCCCATGCATGTGGAGCAGGCCAGCTGGGTGGGCATGGCCACTGCAACTGGGCAGGAGCTACCTCCACAACAAGATAAGCCCCAGAACACCAGAGACCCACACGTGGGCATTGAAGGGGATGAAGTGCCTAGGGAGGGGCTACATCAGAACAATGGGGCAGCCTGAAGAGGGGTCCTCACCCAGCAGTTCATCAGCCACTTCCACTTCTGCCTTCTCCAGGGACTCCAAGACTAACATAGATAAGTCTGCAGCACTGTTTTGCTACAAAATAAATGAACAAGACTCACAAAGTTAGAAACAGACCTGAGTCATTCAGAGCAGTACAGACAAGGCTGGTTGGTTGGTGGTGCTCCTCCTACAGACATGAACGCACTACAGTCGTGAACACACCAGCACCAACAGAACAGACCACTCAGCCATGCAGCCCAGTCATAGAGCTCCCAGCCCAGAAGCACATAAAAAAATGGAGAGAGCTGTTTAGATCAAAATCACATGTGCAGGGCTAGGGTCGTAGCTCAGTGGTAGACTGCTTGCCTAGCACACATGAAAGCACTGGGTTCTCAGCACCACATAAAGAATAAATACATAAATAAAATAAAGATATTGTGTCCATCTACCCTAATTTTTTWAAAAAAAAATTACATGTACAGTGTAGCACCCCAACACCCACAAATCCAGAGGTTTGCACCCAGCCACGAATGGCCCATAGTAACAGGCCCGAGTGTAAAGCATCTGCAGTCAGGGGCAGAGGACCCTCTTCCACTTGTAGCCAGAGCCAAGGATGTCCTGATGCCATCCAGAGGCCTTTTTTTGGCCATTCCCCCCTCAACTCTCCCACGAAGAGCAGAGCACACAGGAAGGGGCGAAACCCCTTACCTGGCCGTGACTGAAGAAGAGCAGTGCTCCTGAGTACATGAGCTCTCGGGCCTCTGCGTGTTTGCTCTGGGACATGTATCTGCAAAGAGAAGGAAAGCATGAGCAGGGAGCCCAGGATGTGAACCCTACAGATGCGTGCTCACTGGTGGGCTGTGGACGTTCATGCTGAGGTATGCCCAATCATCCATGGAGAAGGGAAACCAGGCAGGCCCTCCCCAGAGGGAGCTGTGCCCTGGCCCAGCTGCTTCTCCTCCAACAGCACAGGCTGCCAGTAGAGGGGCACAGCAGGCCCCCTGGCAGGAGGCAAAAAGCAGTCCCTCCTTCAAGCAGCTAGGAGTTTTGGCAGAGGGACCCGGTGAGGGTGGACGCAGGGCCTGACTCCATCTTTTAGTGCAGGCCTGCCTGTGCAGGGGCTCCACAAAGTAGGGGAGACAGATGCCATTCATCTGAAAGCTGAGGGACAGTGGGGCTCCAGGACAGGATCCTATCGGGGAAAATAACAACTGTGACTGCACCAACATCTGCCCCCACTCAGATCCAGTCACGGGCCAGTGTCCTCGAAAGCCTGCTTGGTGGCATCCCACCGCCCATGTGTCACATGGTGTGGGTGTCCTCAACCTGCTGTGAGCACATGCCCTCTCACAGTGCAGGAGGTTGGGAAGAGCTGTTTTCTTCACTGTACAGGGACAGGGGACAGAGGACAGAGTGGCCAGAATGATGCTGTCAACAGAGAGGGTGAAGGGGTCTGTACACTGGATGGTGTGGAGGGACACAGATAGCCTGAGCAACTGCCACAGGAGAAGTGCACAAGGCTAGAGTCAGCTTCTTGTGGCCACTTGGCCAGGTGATGCTGGGACATCTCACTTCCTTGCCATCAGTGTCTTATCATCAGAAAACAACAGGACGAGTCAGCACACTGTCTCTCAGCCCAAGCCCCCTGGGATAAAGCTGTGTTCAAAACCAATCCAAATTATACAAGATCCTCCAGCAGTAGTGAAGGGCCTCAGACAGGAGAGACGAGCAGTGCTCCTGTCTGGGAGTGTGACTTCACCATCCCCAGTACAGAGGAGTCGGAGTGCACAGTCTGCTATCCATCAGCCACAGGAAAAAAGGCCCATAGCCAAACCCCAGCTAGCACACCACAGTCCTCAGGGGACAGGTCCCAGCAGGAGACCCCACCTTGCCGGGCTGGGGTGGGGCCAGCAGGCAAAGCCTACTCCCCACAAGGAAGCCTTCAGTCAGCCCACTGGCCACACATATCTGTCTTGTCAGTGCTACTCGCAAGTGTGGTCACCCTTCCAGGTGTTCCCTGAGCAGAGAAGCCATGAGCTTTCCAGCACCCAGACCTTCCTTGATTAGGAAAGCTGCAGAGCATTTCAGAAAACATGTTCTGTGGTCAAAAGCAGCAGCCTTGCACTCCCATCTGCAGGGACATGAAACCCCATCAACCACATGGCAGACACTGGTCTATAGCCTTCTAGACTCTTCTGAGGCTCAACAAGAGATGACCTCTTGGAAATGCAGATGAAGAGTTCCCTGAGAGGCAAATGAGCCAAGTTCCTGAGATAAGGGAATCTGTCTGCCTCTCGGGACTGCTGGTGACCACAGCAGCATTCCTTGGCTGGCCTGACCTGGCCTGCAGCAGCCTGGGCTCTTGCAGCCACCTGCCTTCCAGGAACTCATGGAGGGCAGAAGTGACCAGGTAACAGGGATCTGTGTGCACAGGATCAGAACCATCCACCATCACCCCCATCCCGCAGAAATCACCTATTGCCACGTCAAGGAAACCTGGTAAAAAAAAACAATGTCTCAGTCAACCTTAAGAATGAGGGTCTTAGGCTGGGGTTGTGGCTCAGAGGTAGAGCGCTCGCCTACCATGCGTGAGKCGCCAGGTTCGATCCTCAGCACCACATAAAATAAAATAAAATATTGTGTCCACCTATAGCTAAAAAATAAATATTAAAAAAAAAAAAAGAAAAAAAGAATGAAGGTCTTTCTCCACTGCAGAATGCTGGGAACTGAGAGGGATTTTTGTGTCTGCGTGACTGAGTAGGGTGGGGGCCCCCTAGGCCACGGATTGCTGAGAGCAGCTGGCCTTCCCAGGATGCATGCCACACAGCCCTGCCCTCTGCACGCTGAGCAATGTTGACATCACACAAATGCCAAGAACACCACCCCACGCTAGAGGTGAACTTGGCGTTGTTGATGAACACTCCAAGCTGGTCCATCTTGGTGTGTTCTGTCAGTCAAAAATGAACAGCAGCATCTTATCCAAAGACCAACAGAGCTGTGCAAGAACTGTTTCATTTTGCTCTTATTATTTAAAAAAGCAGTACACAGAAATTCAAGCATTAACACTAGGGATAAACACCTGTGGGTATCAGTAAATACAGGTGGAACTCATGGTTTGCCCAGCCCCCAAAATGCTCACTGGAGAGCAGAAGCAAGCACCGCCAGCGCCTGCTGGCAGCCCAGAAGCCCCAAAGCCCAACACCCTAACTGCCAGGGTGCAGCTGCCTCCCGCATGAGGTTGTGTGTGCAGMCGTTCACTCTGGATTTCCATTTCCAACATTTATGTGATTTAAGAGGCAACACAGGAGGGCTACAGGCCACAATTAGCAATCCAAACAACTCTCAGGAAAAATGGCAGAAGGAGGGCCCACTTTCCTTGAGGCCAAGGGGAGACGGGAACCACACAGGTGGGATGCATGGCCTCAGGGTCAGCCTCTCAACCACAACCTGAAAGCAAATCTGCAAGCACTGAGGCCGCAGTGAAGATCCTAGTCACAGGAAGGCCGCACTCTTGCACTCTGGGAAAGCTGTCCTCAAAGACACAATTTCCTGACTTTGCAGGTGCTAATAATCCAAGAGGCCTGCAAAACTTACTCCCCCTCTCACCAGGCAGAGAGGTCTGAAGAGACACAGGGAGCTGCCCCCAACATCCCCACATGAAACTGAGTTAGAAAGAAACTGCTTCAAGGCGCCCAGGTGAACCACCCAATATCTGCTGGACAGACACCATCTGCTGGGCTGCCTATTCTTCCCAATCCTCGCACCTGATGTAGGCTCTAACTGAATCAAAACAGTGTGTTGACATCCACAGAGGAATATCATAAAGCAATACCAAAGACCTACAACCCAGGTCAGTCAATTATGCTGAGTAAATTTTAAAAATTGTGTGCATATATATACAAACACCAGAAAAAAAAAAAAAAGAAAAAAGAGTGTGTACTATGAATCCACTTCCATAGAATTCAGAAAGTACAATTTCACCTGCAGAGACTAAGTAGAGGGGAGCTGCCCCAGGGGATGGGAGTGGGGGTGGGGAGAAAGGCCTCACAAAGGCAAAGGAGAAACTTCTGACAGCTTGCTCCTGGAAGCATCCTGGGTCGGTTCAAATGTCAAAGTTCATCCAATTGTAATGTAAATACTTAAATGTAAATATGCAGACATTTACTAGACATTGAAAAACTAGTATAATTTTGTGATTCTTTTTTTTCCAGTTGTAGAGGGATAAGCACTCTACCACTGAGCCCCAACCCCAACYCATGATTTGGGGATTCTGACTTCTCCCACAGCCAAATACCCATAGTCTTCCCAGCTTGGGCCTCCTGGGTGGGGTTAATGGAGTGACCCAGGGAGGCCAAGGCTCAGGGAGGCTCTGTAACACTCCCTGGGCCCCAGATGAAGGGTGGCCCTGGGCTTGGCACTCACTCACTGCACTGCCTCACCATTCCTAGCAGGTTGGCCCCAGAAGGAGCAGCCCAGAGGCAGCAAGGTCACAGAGCTCACCTGTCACCATCTTGTCATCCAGACACACCCTGGACCAAGGGGGGCTCATTGAATAAATACTAAGTTAAGCAAATCTCTAGTCAAGGCAGGGCTGGTTCAGAACAAAGGAACACAGTGCCTATTTTTGAGAAGACCCATTTTTATGGGTCTTTAAATGGGCCCATTTTTACTTATTAGTCACTGGGCAAATACTCATACACAAATTCCCCCAAAAACCAAAGGTCAGGGTGAATTCTAAGTGCTATGAGTGTGCACAGATGTGTGGCTGGAACTGACCATCAGGGTAGAAGGCCCCAGTCAATGCTAGCACCTGCTGCTTTTGGCTGATCCTTCAACAGTCAGATTAAAGGGGCTGTGACAACTCAGAGCTTTTGGAAATGCAGTTAGTGACAGCTCAACTTTGTTAAACTTGCCCCTGTGACTACCAAGCATGCAGGTCTCATTTTGGTAGAATTTACCATGGTAAAACTAAAGGGAAGAACAAGTCTCTTCCTAAAGCAAACAACAGATTTCAAAAAGCAAGGCATTCATAGAACAATTACAAAACTAGATGCAACCTGACTGGTCTGTATTTATAGTGTGTCAGGGTTTAATACCCAGAAAATTCCAGAACAAGACTGTCCTTCAGGCCATTTGAGATCATAGAGGAGAGGCCAATATTTCTCCCTAAGCCTAGAGAAATCAACTAAACTCAAGGCCTCTGATCCTGGCAACACAGGATAGAAACAAATGAAAAAAATCTTTGAAAACAAGGTGCCAGGGCCTCACCCAGACTGCAAGCTGGTGGGCAGACACAGAGGCAGGGCTCTATCCTGGGGCACAGGGCAAGGCCCAGGGCGGAGGACTCCAACATTTGGCCTGGATCTTGTCTTCTCCCACTGTGTCCACCCACTYGCTGGGTGGTTCAAAACTGAGTGCACCCAAATGTAAGAGAAAGGTCCCAGAGAGCCCTTAAGATGATCCCAGGACCAAAAGAAGGCACTAGGCTGAGGAACCATTGTCCCAGCACCTTTGTTCAGCCCACAGAACAGGAGGGGTAACTGGAAAACACCCCACTGTGGCAGCTCTGGCCTGAGGGGTGGGCAGTAGAAACTGCAATTTTGCTATGAATCTAAAACTGCTCTAAGATGCAAAGTCTATTAAAAGAAAATTGCAGGCCTAAGAATTGTCAAGGCTAGACCCACAGCCTTCACTACTGGACAGGGCAGTCCTGCCTTGAAGTTAGGAATAAAGCCACAGCACATGGCAGGCTCAGGCCAAGGCTATCAACAAACATGCCCAGGCCTAATGACCAGTCCAATCGCAGAGGACTGTACAACTGGGAGTCCCCCAAACAGGAAGTGGTTACTGTCTCAACAGCACCGGCCTAACCACACATCGGGTCACCAGGGCCTCTGTTCTCTGTGAGGCAATCCTGGCCGTGATTGCCTGCAGAGAAGGCTGCCTGAGACGCCCGCTCTAGAGAAACAACTCCAGGACAGAACCTGTCTATGAAAAGGAACAGGGTGACAAGGACAGGGTGCAGGGCCAGGCTAGAGGCTGGGGGAAGGGGAGGAGAAAGCTGGGAAGGGAAGGAGACCGGGGAAAATGAGGACGGAAAGGGTATGGGAAGGAAGGAAAAGGAGGCTCTGAAGGGTAGGCCAGGAAAGAGAGGCTGGGCCCAGGAAAGAGAGACCCAGGAAGGGGAAGGGGGAGGTTGGGAAAGAGGGCAGGGAAAGGGAATGAGGAGGCTGGGGAAGAGGAGACCCGAGGAGGAGGCCAGAGAAGGGAAAGAGTAGACCGGGAAGGAGAAAGTCGGGGAAGGCGGAGACCGAAGTGGGTAAACCACACGGGGGAAGCGGACAGGGAAACCCAGGAAGGAAGACGTAGGGCTCTGAAGGAGAAGAAGAGAAGCGAAGGCCAGGGAACGGAAAAGGAGGCCGCACAGGGCAGGCCGCGCCGCGCAGCCCGGAGCCCGCCGCCCCCTCTCCAGCCGTCGCGACAGGCAGCTGAGCCGGCCAATCGAGGAGCGGGGCGCCGCGGGGCGGCCAATGGGTGGCGGGGGCGGGGCCTCGGCGGCAAGCCGCCGCCCGCGCCCACCTGAAGAAGAGGGTCCGGTACATCTGGTGCGCCTCGTAGTAGTCGCCCTTTTCGACGCTGGCGCGCAGTTTGCCCTCCACGCGCTGGACGCCGCCGCGGTTTCGGGCGCCGTTGCGGGCCCCCTCCTGCTCCGCCATTGCCGCCGCCGCCATGGGCCGGCGTTCCGCGCAGGGCTGACGCTGTCGCAGGCGCGGTCGGCGGCGCCTCTCGGCTTCCGTCCCTGAGCCCGCCCGACGCCCTCTACGGTGGCCGCGAGGAGCCGCGCGGGTCGACGGCTGCGGGCGACACGTGACTAAGGAGGGGCCGCGGAGCCTACGGGCGRCCGTGTGAGCAGGGCGGGGCTACGTGTCCTGGGTGGAGCTGTAGGCAACCACGTGATCGCGAGGCGGGGCCTAGGTTCGTGCTATGTGCCCTGGGCGGGGCTGCGGGTGGCCACGTGACCGCTGGCGGTGCTACCCAAGGGGGGTGGGGCCAGAACCTCTGCCACGTGCCCAGGGTGGCCACGTGTCGGGACGGGGCGCTGCTCACTACACAATGCGCGCTAACCGCGGCATGGTCACTGGCCAGGTGGTGGCCTCTGCGGCGCGATAGGTCCAACCTCAGCTTCCCGTGGTGGAGCCAAGCAGTCGCCCTTCATTGGTCCTGGGCAGGGGGCGTTTCAAACATGTTGACAGTGATTTAAAACCTTTTTGGAATATTCGAGAGGTTGTCTTGGGCTTTCCTGCTAGGAAATCTATTATTCGGGGACCAAGATGAACAGCCTTCACACCTGCTCCAGAGGGGATGCAAGGGTCTGTCTGAGGTGCACTGGCRATTCCTGGTGATACAGCCAGACAGGGTGCCCTGGCCAGGCATTACAGTGGTTGACAGCTGAGACAGGATGGCCTAGCTATGGATTAGAGCAGAGGCAGATGGGATAGGGTGGCTTGGCCATGGGTTAAGCTGTGTGGTGAAGGGTCCAGCGGGACCTTTAGCTGTACATGAGCCTTTTACTGTGGGGCTGGCTCAAGACTTGGGGGTGCTGGAATGCAGGCAGAACCCTATACAAGAACTATGCTTTCTTTTGAGGGGGTAGGTGGGTACAGGGGATTGAACTCAGGGGCACTTGACAACTGACCCACATCCCCAAACCCTATTTTGTATTTTCTTTAGAGACAGGGTCTCACTGAGTTGCTTAGTACCTCGCTTTTGCTGAGGCTAGCTTTGAACTCACAATCCTGCAATCAGACTCACAATCCTGCAATCAGCCTCCCCAGCCACTGGGATTACAGGCATGTGCCACTGCGCCCAGCACAATAACTGTTTTTACACACACACACACACACACACACACACACACWCTCTCTCTCTCTCTCTCTCTYTTTTTTTTTTTTTTTTTTAAGAGAGAGTGAGAGAGGGGAGAGAGAGAGAGAGAGAGAGAGAGAATTTTTTTTTTTTTAATATTTATTTTTTAGTTCTCGGCAGACACAACATCTTTGTTGGTATGTGGTGCTGAGGATCGAACCCGGGGCCGCACGCATGCCAGGCGAGCGCACTACCGCTGAGCCACATCTCCAGCCCCGCCTAAGCACCTTCTTATCTACCCTGTATCTGCTTTCCAGCTGGACTCCCCTAAGCAGGAAGAGGTGCCCTGAGAACCTGTAGACTAAAGGCCTTGAAGGACACAGCCAGTGCTTGCAGCACCCGAGCTCTCATTCTCAGCACACAGACTTAGTTGTCCCTTCCCACACCTCATGGGTAGAGAGAAAGCAAACTGAGAAAGGAAATATACTGTTTATTACTCATTTGAAATATCACATGCACTTTTAAAAATTTAAACTCTTTAAACATCTCAATAGCATCTTATCAATTTGGTGGCAGCAAAAGAAACACTACCAAAGACAAATATTTTGAAAARCATTTACAAAAATACATTGCACAAAGTCCTATCTTGCATCTTTAAAAATAAATATTCAAAATATCTCCACCCCAACTTCCAAATTTAGCTTTATATAGGAAATTTGACTTATATATGTACCTATAATATAGGAAACATCTGTACACATTTCACCCAACCTAGCTGCATGGGCACTGGTTCAACTCTCGGAGAAGCACAGATCTATGTGGCTGAAGTACTTGAGGACTGTACAGCCCACACAAAACTCCAGAGACCAGTGAGCACCGCCATGCTTTTTCTGAAAGTACAGCATTTATGGTGTGCCAAGGCTGTCTTGACCAACAAAATGTAAATAATTCTTAAAGTAAAACATCTAACACTTGAAGTGCCTTGTACATATATCTCCATTATAAAGTCTGTTCATAAAATAGTCTGTAGTATTAAATATTAATTATAACCAAAAGAAGTCTCACAAGAATCAAGTGAGAATAGCTGACAGTTGGATAAAAGGCAAACCCCACTGAGAGCCAGTAAACAGTGCTGCCATAGGAAAGACTGGACTCTACAACAATGATGACATGCCCTGGAGGGTCAGGGGCCTTAGTGTTGCCCCTTCAGCAGAACTCAAAACACAGCCCAAGGACAACAGAAGGTGAGATCTTTTAGTTGCTGTCCATGCTGTGAATTTCAACTGCAACATCCTCCTGAGCTCTTCCATTTATGATGTTGGTTGGGACCCAAATTGCCCCTCTTCTGGTCACGCTCTCACCCTCAGCAGAAAAACACTCTGTCTTGCTCAGCACCAAGGAGGCACAGGACACGTCTCAGCCCCTACGCAACTGGGGAACCTAAGTGCTGAAACAAGGAACCCACCTGGTGGAAGTTTCAGAATCCAAAAACTAGGAGATGGTTTTCCCTGAAAGAACATGTGTGGGTTTGACAGATGGACTGTGTCTGCACTCCTAAAGGTCCAACAAACCTGTCAACTCCACCTGCTTTGCTCCTGATATCAAGAATTTAAAGGGCTTATATTAAAAAACAAATCCCCCAAATAAAATGAGTGTCTTTGAGAACCATACATTCAAATGAGTTTCCAGGAACCCACCACGGAGTCTTTGTGGACCACGCACATGGCATGCAGTGCTTTCGAGGACTCACCGTGCAGGTCCTTTGCCACTGCATATGCTGATTGTAGGGCTGACATGTTACTGTTCTACGCATGCCCTCACCCCAAGGATCCAGTGTTTCCGGCAGTTCTGGTATATACAAGCATATACAAAACTAGGGAATCCTTTATTTTGCGGGTTCTCCGTGAACTCTGAACCGATACAGGCAGGTATACTCAGGGTGGCCCCAGTTTGAGAGGATGCGGAGTTCTAGTATTTGGAAGGCTTTGTCAGGTCTTTCCTGAAATGGGAAAAACACATTTACTTCAGATTAAGAGTCCTAACACCATCACTTCTCCTAGTATGCTATCTGACAGGAAACAGCCTTTGGAAATTAGAGTTCTCAGTATGAACTTTCTAAATCATAAATTCAGGGAATTTCTCAGAACCAACCAGCCACAGACTGTCTTGCTGTCACCACCAATACCTGCACCTGCACACAGCTCACTACAGCTGGGAGGTACAGGTTGATTTCCTGCCAAAGCTGATCCTTATGTGCCCCTCAACAAGACTGTTCCCAGTGACAGAGACGGTGAGGGGACACGGCACCAGTCCTTACCGGAGCATGGAACATCTGCAGTGACTCCCCTTCTTGGTCATATGTGAACTGTCCCAAAGGCTGCCCTTCTTCTTGATACTCATTTTCTAAACCCTGAAAACAAGACCAGGTAGTCATCAGCCAATGGAAACAGCAGTCATCAACAGAAGTGACTGTGTCACTTCACCTCCATAAGCAGTACTGAAGCCCTATCTAGAAGCTTTTGTCATGGGCTTTCAACCAGAGCCACCCTCCGAGCCAGGTGTGACTGCTCCATAATACAGATGGGGAAGATTGAGGCCAGCAGGAGGCGTGTGCAGGTAGCAGAGATATGACTGTCCAATGGCACAGACCACACTCACAGCTGCCCTCACCAGTGGGAACTCTAGGCTCCCATGAGCCCAAGGAGACATCAATTTAAGGATAAGTTTGTATACATTCTATCACAATAAAAAATAAAAAAATATAAATGACTATTTGATGTCTGTTTCATAATGAGGAAGGATTTTGTAGGTATAAAAAATGGCATGAAAGAAATTACAGGCCATGAGCAACTAAATAAAAACTGAGAGTGACAATGGGAGTCTTATCTGTGACATAGTGACTAAGGAGAGGGTGTGATCTCCAGAATGGAGTTACCAGAAGAACACACCTCTGCTCAGGGCTGGCAGAGACAGGAGCCGGGCTGGTGCAGTTTCCCCATACCTTGACTGCACTCTTACTAAGCCCTGAGCATCTAATGTGAGGACAAGTGCAGACAGAAGCCACTGCACTCATGCCACCAAAGGGTTAGTCCATGGGCTCAACTGGGCAGCATTCTCCTGTACTTACAGATGCCTGGAGACTCTTAATTGTCATAGAGAGATGCTTTTTGAAAAATTTTGATTTTTTTATGGCAGAAAACAAAAGTTTATGAATAGTAATGTCTAAAATAGATTTTTTTTTTTAAAGGGGAGGAAGTCACAATGGTAATGGTGGCTTTCTCTAGGTGCTGGAGTTGTGGGTACCCTTTTTGAATTTTTTTTTTTTTTGTACTGGGGATTGAACCCAGAGGCACTCTACCACTGAACTATATCCCAGCCTTTTTATGTTGAGAGGGTCTCACTAAGTTTCTGAGGCTGGCCTTGAACTTGCAAGCCTCCTGACTCACTGTGATTACAGTGTGGGCCAATACATCAGGCTTTTTTCCAAATTCTATATCATTTATTTCTATAAATTTTAAAAGTAAAGAAAGAAAATTTGCTTTATTGTTCATCATTCACTTGCTTCAACACCACATCATGGTCCGAACTGTTAGCGGCACCCCAGAAAAAACCCTAACATGGCGCCTAAGGACCTTCTCTTCCTACTTTCCTCTTTTTCCATTCCTGCGGGTGTGAACTCTCCCGCTGGCGCCAATATTTCAAATCTCGCTGGCGGGGAACCTTAGCCCCAATAAGAACTAATTCCTGGGCTCTGGAACTGATATCTGGAAGAACTTGCCAATAAACGGGTGGCCTGCCATTTATCTAAGCCCTGCCATCTCTCCTTAGATCTATATAAGCACACAGCCTTTTGCAATAAAGTGGAACTCTCCCCGGCAAATTGTCTTGCATGGAGGCTTCTTTCACGAACTTCCTTCTTAGGTGAACAGACACTTGGAGAACCCCATTCTCAAAGGCAGGCACATCTAACCCAGTCAGGTAAACCCGGCATGTGAACTGGACATTGACTGCTATGCTACTCATGAGTGCCCCTCCCTGGAAAAGTGTCAGAATGTTCCCAAAACACTGAATGTACTAATTCTTCTGAAGGGCAGAGGGAGAAGGCAGAGGAGAGCTGCCATCAGTCTTTGGGTCATTCATCTTTGGGAAATTTCCGGAGAGGGAAATGCCCCAGCAGCGGGGTGCACTTACGTAGACTGCGAAGTCCTTGGGGGCACTGGAGATGTTGCCAGTTGGTGACAGTGTCTTTGGTATGTGCTCCACTGTGAATGTGGTGGGATGGATCTTCATTGACAGCCGAACTACCAGATACCCCTGGGAGCCTTTAAATGCCCAGCAATTACCTGGATATATGTCAGGCTAGGGAAAGGCAAAACACGAGAACTCAGAGTCTGAATCAGCCTTTAACCTCTTAAAAAACAGAAGCATTAAGAAAAAACAATGCTAATACTAAAATAAAAATAATAAGGACTTTTGCATGGTAAAAACTGTCATGAACAAATCAGAAGAGAAACAGGGAAAGAAAGGTGGCTGCAGTGTGTGCCTATAAGGGTCCCTTCCTTTTCCCCTGGAAAGGGGAAGTGCTGATGATTGAGTTGGTCGCTAACCACCAAAGATGTAATCAATTATGCCTGTGTGATGAAGCAGCCAAAAATCCCCCAAAGGCCAAAAGTTCAGAGGAGCCTCAGGACAGCTGAACACAGGGAGGTGCCTAGGTGGTGGCACAAAGGAATCAATGTGTTAAGGTTTGGATGTGTGGTGTCCCCCAAAAGCTCATGTGTGGGACAATGCAAGAAAGTTCAAAGGAGAAATGATTGGGTTGTGAAAGTCTAACCCAATCAGTGATTAATCCCCTGACAGGATTAACTGGGTGGTGTCTGAAGGGGTGTGGCTGGAGGGAGGAAGTGGTTCATTGGGAGTGTGGCTATGGGGTATATTTTTTATCTAGAGAATGGAGTCTTTCTCTGCCTGATCATCATGGAGCTGCTTCTGTCTGCTACACTCTTCCACCATGATGTTCAGCCTCACCTTGAGCCCTGAAGAATGGAGCTGGCCTTCTACAGACGAAGACCTCTAAAACCGTGARCCCATAAATAAACTTTTCCTCCTCTACAGTTGTTCTGGTTGGGTCCTTTTAGTCACAGCAGTGAAAAAGCTGACAAAAACAGTAAGGAAGTGCTGGGGCCAGTCCCTCAGGCATGAACTCCCTCATGAGCTCCCACTGAGCTGCCTACCCATGATCCCTGCACTTCTCCAGCCGCTGCACAGGGCCCAGGCTGGGTGGAGGACCTCAGCCACCATAGAGACAGACAGCATCTACTCACCTGGATCACCACACGGGGTGACTGTGAGAAGTACCACAGGGGGATTCCAAACAGGCTTAGCAAGGCTGTCTTGGTTTCATATGTTTCAGAGCATCGAGTGCTCAGAATGCTGCCACCTGGAACAAAGTAAAGTTCATTTCATCATCTGACTCTACTACTGCCCCCAGCAAAGACTGCTGCCTGTTAAGCACTACCCAGAGTGCTTTGATCTTCTCAAGTTTCCACTCGCACAAAGAGCCTTTAGCTTTAAGATCAGCCCTATTCCTTTCCTTTTAAATTTTTCTAGATAAAGAATCAAGAATTCTAGCAAGCACCAGTCCTAGTGGTAGGTGAGTTTTCAAAGGACTACTTAAGGGGCAAGGTAATGCTATGCCAATCCTCAATTAAAACCAAAGTCCTGGGGCCAGTAGTGACCAAAGAGGTATAAGTTTTTGTTTGGGGTAACAGGAAAATTCCAGAATTGGTGGTGATGACTACACAGCACTGGGATATACTCACAACCACTGAGCTGCATACTTTTTTTTTTTTTTTTAAGTTATAGGTACATACCATGTCTTTATTTTACTTTTACATGGTGTTCAGGATCAAACCCAGTGCCTCATGCATGCTAGGCTCTACCTCTGAGCCATGACTCCAGCCCTAGTTGCATACTTTTAATTAAGATGCTTATGTCACGTGACCTCTAATCTCAGAGAAGCAAAAGAAGTTCCAGTCTGCTCTTCCATAGGAAGAGCGCAGACAAGACACTGGAATCAGCAACAAACAAGCAGATAAGAACTCAAGATTCCCACAGAGCTGCATCAGCCCTGGCCCTCTGCCCTTGGGCCCTTATGTGGCTACACAGCAGGACCTCAACTCAGTGATTCTCCTCTAGGAAGAGATGGGAGGGGGTATGAATTTACATTTAAACAAGGTGTTCAACGTTCTGATGGCTATCTGATTTTCAGAACCACTGAAATGCCTTTTAAAAATGTCCCACTATGGGGCTGGGGATGTGGCTCAAGTGGTAGAGCSCTCCCCTGGCATGCGTGTGGCCCTCAGCACCAGTCCGCTGAGAACTAAAAAATAAACATTAAAATTCTCTCTCTCTCTCTCTCTTTAAAAAAAAAAAAGTCCCACTATCAATAAAAACAAGAGTCTTCATAAAAACAGTGCCGAGAGCTGACAGATGGAACCTGCCCAGGCATTGCAGGTCACCAGGGTTCTGAATTAATTATACACAAATCTGTGAGAACCATAAGAATGAAGGATGACTTACTGGCCCAACCATTTGGTTAAAATGTCACTTGATGCCATTGAACTCAAAGTAACTTCTAAATTATTGAATTTCAGAGGTGTAACTAAAATCTATGCCCTAAAGAAAGACATTTTAGAAAATACAGAGAATGTGAACATTAGTGCTGGCTTTTAGCTAGCACATGAAGGACCTACTGTCCTTGGCAGCCCTGGGGCTCACCCACCACCACATCCAGAGCCCAGGAGAGGGTAACATCCAGACTCAAAACCCAGCTGTTCCAGCAACAATGGGGTTACGTGCATGACCTCCATTGCCAGGTTTCCTAACCTGAGATAAGCCAAAGCAAATAGATTGTGGGTTGTAAAAATCCCCATTCCCTCTGCAGGCTCAACAACCCTTCTGTACACTAGTGAATATTCAAAATCTCCTTATCTCCCAAGAAATGTTAGTCCACCAGCCCCATCTGCAATTCCTAAAATTTAAAAATTTAAGGTAAGTTTCGTGGTACACACCAATAGTCCTAGCTACTCGGGAGTCTAAAGCAGCAGGACCACAAAGTTTGAAGCCAATCTGGGCAATTCAGCATGACCCTGTCCAAAAATAAAACAAAGAGGGCTGGGGACATAGCTCAGTAGTACAGGGCTTGTATAGTATGTGTGAGGCCCTGGGTTCAATCCCCTGTATTGCAAAAAAAGAAAAAAAGTATCAGAAGACCAAGATTTTCTTTACTACCTACCCATGGAGGCGAAACCATACCTGAACTCACCAATGCTGTCCAAGTGGTATCTGTAGAGTGCTGGTGTGCTGACCTGGTATGCAATCCCAAACTCACTGCCAGGGTATATGGAACCACAGTTCTGATTTCCCAGATATAATGGATCATGACTTTGGGGGACCAAAATAACACCCATGTCCTTCTACTCTCAGCTGCTTTCCTACTGTCTGCCCTATTCATCATCTTTCCTGAGGGCAGAGTCACCACACTCATGATCAGCAACACTGACCAACCTCAGGTGTGTTCTGCGAATGCATAGGCACGGTGTTCCAGCCCTTCTGGGGTGCGCCCTGCAAGCATGTGGGYCCAGCACATTACTGCCCTTCTAGGATGTGCCCTGTGAGCATGTAGGCCCAGTGTTCCAGTCCTTCTGTCCAAAACTTAATTGTCTAGAGACAAAAAAGCACAAGGGACTCGCCTAGAATTGCACTCAGACTGGTCAATGTTCCACCAAGTCCCTTAATACTTCAAGCTCCCAGCCTGCTAGCAGGTGAACATCGTATTTAATGATTCAAATATCTGTGTACTCACCACCAGATTCCAGGGCAAAGTCCACCATCCCAGTCTTATCTTGAGAATACAGCTTTAAAGCCTTGTTCACAAGGACATGCACTTGCTGGACAAACACATGTGCAAGGGAAGCCCAAACACGAGTGCAAGAGAAAAAAGTCACATTAGTGAATGAAGACCAGAGGTGCAATACACTTGGGTGACAGGCAGGGGATGCTCCTGTCCTATACCCTAGGGCCATGTCAGAAGGGCAGAAGAGCTAGACCCTCTTTACTAGGGCTCAGATATATCATTCCCAGGATGCCATCAAGGAGAGTGAAACAGGGATTAGATTTTGGAGCTATTTTTTTTTTAATTTTTTACTATTTATTTTTTAGTTTTTTGGTGGACACAACATCTTTGTTTGTATGTGGTGCTGAGGATCGAACCCGGGCCGCACGCATGCCAGGCGAGCACGCTACCGCTTGAGCCATATCCCCAGCCCAGATTTTGGAGCTATTAACATGGGAATCTGAGAAATTTGTGTATGACTGAAAACTCTAATAAATCTCAGAAAGTATACCACAGCACAGGTAGATGGGATCTTTGGAATGAAAAGTTTCAGCGTATAAAGTGCTTCAGGGAGCAGCTGGATGTGACGCTGCCTACAGCATGCTTTCATAGGCTCTGGTATTGCACCTGTACCTCTGCCTCCCCTCACTGAACCTGGCCCAACCCTGGAAACCATTCTCAGGATGAGGCTTCACAGCCTGCCTGCATGACACCCAGACATCCAGTCTCACAACAAATGCAGGCTGAACCTTGTCTCACCACTGCTCACCTCCTCTGTGATTCCAGAGACGCCAGTGTTGCTCATGGCAGACACGACAGCCTCTGACGTTGGGGCCTGTCCTGTCACTGTAATGTGGTGGGTGATGTTCTTCAGCACCTGCAGCTCCAGGTCTTGCAACAAAACCTGCAGGTCATCCTTGCTCACAAACTGAGAGGAAAATTTCTGCAGCAGCCACTCGAGGGAGCCACCTTGCTGGTCCTCAGAAAATAGGAGCTTGATGGTTTCTCTGACCTGGGTATCCACCTGGTGGCAGTCATTAGTAAATATACAGTGAATTTACTGTTTTAACTAAACCACATCAACACAATATAGATGCCTCAGAAGTATCATATAACTTTCTAAAGTATGTAATATAAAAGTGACACATTTTTTTCCCTTCATATTAAATTTAAGACCCCTTCCAAAAATGCTGAAATATTTTATTTTTGGGGGTCCAGGAGATTGAACCCAGGGGTATTGTGGCACTGAGCTATACCCAAGCCCTTTCTTCATTTTTATTTTAAAACAGAGTCTTGCTAAATTGCTCMGGCTGGCCTCAAAATTGGCATCCTCCTGCCTCAGCCTCCCAAGTCACTGGGATTACAGGCATGTGCCACCAAGTCCAGCTAACACTTTAATGAGAACAGGAATCCAGTATTGCATAAACATGAACTAAAAAAAGTGGGTGGAGTCCTCATTCAGCCATTGTTTGCGCTCAAAAAGCCTCTGCCAGCAGCCCCATAGGTGAGGCACCAATGTGAATGACAGAACTCATCCTCTTCAACAAACTGGGCCTGTATGAAAAAAACAGGTCAAGCCTGGAACAGTGGCGCACACTTGTAATCCCAGTGGTTTGGAAGGCTGAGGCGGAAAGAAAACAAGTTCAAAGCCAGCCTCAGCAATTTAGCAAGGCCCTAGCAACTTAGGGAGACCCCATCTCCAAATAAAGAATAAAATGGTCTGGGGATGTGGCTCAGTGCTCTGTATCAAAAACAAACAAACAACAACAACAAAATGTCAATATAAAGCTTTGAATGTAATATCACGAATGCTGTCTTGTCCATGTATATCATTTCTACACACACCTGTGCATGTGAATTTTTTACTTTCTAAGGAACAGAATATGGCAGCTAGCTGCACAAGACATACCACTCTTCCTTATTATTTTATTTTTAATTTTTTGTACCAGGGATTGAACCCAGAGGCATTTAACCACTGAGACAGGGTCTCATTAATAGTTGCTGAGGCTGGATTTGAACTTGCAATCCTCCCGCCTCAGCTGGAATTACACATGTACCAAGGCTGTCTTCATCAACAAAATGTACCCACTGCACCCAGCAAAATACCTTCCTTTACATAACTATAGGCCTGCCTCATCCCTCTGCTTCTCTCTGGCACCCCTTGAGTGACTATACCATGTACTGTACTCCCCTGTCCTTACCCTCTCCAGTGCTACCCTGAGCCCTGCCCACTCCTCTCTCAGACTCTGCTCTGCCTCTCTTTCTGAAGAGTGTGGGTGCCAGTTTCAAACAGTATGCATATTTATAATTGGCTAACAACATAAAATTCACTCCAAAGCTGTACACATGCAAGAATGCTCACGGCATGGCTAGACTAGTGGTGGCCACTGTCCACACGTGGCTGGAGGCAGCCACGTACTTTTATTTGCTCATCAGCCACGAGCCTGCACCCTGCCTACGTGCTCTGTCCTCTCCACTATTTCTTCTACCAGTTCTGAGAGCTTTCTGCAGAGACAACTTAACCACTCTTGTCACAAGTAACTCTGATCATCTGGGACTTCTGAGGACTTCTGTCAGTCTAATGTCTGTTTTCATTCCCAGCAACCATAAGCATCTGGATGTTTTCTGCCCAAGGACAAGACAAGTGGGCCTGAAGCCACATCCGCAGCACCACCTGTGTGCACAGGCAGCCCAGTGCTGTGGTAAGATAATACACAAATGCACCATACATCAGCATGTGGTTGTGTGCACAGAAGTATGCATGGAAAGTTACTTGCTCCTTCTTATGTTACATCACTAGAATAGGGGAAATTCAAGGAGCCTTGAATTTGTTACTTTGAAATGTTTAAAAATGTCACATAGAGGGCTCAGTGGTAGAGTACATTCCATCCCCAGCACCACAAGAGAAACAAAAGAACTTCAAATATAGTGAAAGAAGTTTTTAAAGGAAGTCAAAATTAAACACCTTGATAAACATAGGTCATAATTTTCTTCTACTTTGTTACAAAGCAAAAGGCTGGAACCAGTACAGCTGCCTGTTCTTGGAGTTGGCCTGGCCATTCCTGGAACTACCCTTACCTCCTCACAGCTGGCCTTCTGATGCTGCCAGTCTGACAGCTGTGTTCTCAGCAGGCCCAGTTCCAGCTCCAGGTGCTGAATTCGGGGCAGGAGGGGCTGCTCCTCAGCTCCACTGTAAACCAGCAACCAGGGAGGAGAAGCAAGTCAGGAACCCAGACACACTCAGGAGGAACCTGCCCGACCATGGCTCAGACAGCTCGGTCAACAAATAAGCAGCACTTATCAGAATCACACAGGATTTCTTTTCTGCTCAATTCATGTATGCATCACACCTACCAGAATGCTATTAGCAATGGTTATATGCTCATGAGGAAAAAATTCTTTCTGAAAACTAGTATTCAAAAACTAATTCCTTAAAATTATAAATAAAACTTCAGAAATGAGACAAAATTTATCAACAGTTATTATAAATTGAATCTACATTTTCAAGCTAATGGAATGAACAACTGCACTAAAAACAAATGGCTTGAGAATTTGACAATTTTACTTTAGGGAGGTAATGTAATTACAACATAAATATTTGCTGAGATACTAACAATTCCTATCTTACAACCATACTCCTTTCAGAAAAACAATGAAATCTGCATCCTGGCATATCAAAACCATTTCCCATTGAAACCAAAGATGTAGGGATAAAGTGTGCCTAGCACTTGCATCCCCCACACAGGGCCCAGCACTGTAGGAGCACAGAGGAGCAGACGTGGGGGATGCATGTGAGCTGCCCTCTCATCAGCTAAAGCCCTCCAAATGGTTTCAGGACAACAGGATTGCAAAGGCTGTCACATGCAGACCCAGGAGGGCAGAGAGCTGGCTGGGGGCATGTATGGGAAGATGCAACTCTGGGAACATCAAAGAAAGGAACATTCACTCTAAGGGCCTCAGGCAAACTGAAACCTGCAGGAGAAAGCAAGCTGGTGGTGGGAATAAGCACCAGACCCCCAAGAACAGTGGGGGGCCAGGGCTGTGGAGATAACTGGGAATGGTTCAGAGCCACCAACTTTAAGTGTAAAAGCTGCAGCTGTGAAAAGGCTTGGACCACATGAGCAGATCCCAGTGTGTGAAGTGTTGCCCAGCAGGCAGGTGTCCCACCCACCTGAGGACTGTGAGCAGCAGGGACAGTGGCTACTTACTGAGACACTAATGGTGCCAGTGGAGGCTTTGTCATGCATCCCTCTCACAGGAGCTCCAACCCAGGTCCCTTGGTCTACTCCCTAAGGGTGGTCCTCTGAGAGGCCCTATTCATGCTATGTCCAAGATCCTCAGGGCCCTCTACCCTCCCATGGCCCCAAAGGGACACCCAGAAAGACACACAAGCCAGTGACTTCAGGTGACACGCAAGGGGGTACATCAGGAACACTACTGTCAATGATTGCTGTCATCTAGCAACCAGAAAGAAAAACAAGGGTCAAGCTATAGAATCGTTTGCAATCATCCTACCTAATTGTTTTCTGCTTGATGTGTTCTAATTCCTTCTGGATGGCCTGAAAAGTATGAGAAACAATCTGTTTCAACACATGTCATAAACAAATTTCATAAAATGATTATATGATGAACTTAAACTATGTCTATTTGGAATTTCCTCAACCCCAGCCTTAATTCAAAGTCCAGATCTACCTGATGGAGAGGAATATTTATTTTATTTTTCAATGTACATTTTAAAAGACATTGAACTCAGAGAGGTGTGAAATCACCTGAAAATAGCCTGGTAAACCTTCCAAACATCAAGCTCCTTTAACTGGCACCCAGGTCGAGAGAAGAAAGCTGCCAAAGTGGAAGGCTAAGGAAAGGGTGGTCACACCTGAGGATGCAACTTCACATGGGCTGTACAGAGGCATCCAGATTTCAGCACATGCTAGGAAGACAGCAGCCTGCATTCCAGGTTGATCAGAGATGGTGTTCAGGCTACCCCAAGGGATACATGCTTGCAGCACCCTGGGAAGGTGAGTCCCCTATCCTGCTGAACTTGCCTGGCTCTCTCAGTGACAGGAGCTGGCCCCAAGACCTCCACAGGGCTGTACTCCACTGACCCCAAGATAAAATGAGTTTCAATTTAGTTGAGTTAACACATGAGTATCTACAACGCCAGGCTCCAGGCTTCGTTCGTGCTAAGCCCTAGCGATGCCAAGAACCCGACTCTCAGTGTCCAAAATCTCCACGTCTCAGATTGGTGCAACAATCCCTGGCCTTCTCTACATCACACAGTGACATATATCCCACCCAAAATTAATTGTGCCCCGCTCCAGACAAGCAGATCTTGCAAAAGCTGCATGGTACCAGGAAGAGCAAGGATGGCTGGATGTGCCCCCAGAACCAACTGCCTCCTCTTACTTGCAGACTGGCTCCATTCCCAAGAGTCACCAGGAACCAGGAATCCTGGTAAAGCACTCCAGCAATAAAGTAGACCGCCACAGGAAAAGGACAGGTCAGAAACAAATGTTCACATTTTATAAAAGACCATGGCAAATACCCTCCAGGAAGCACATTCATGGCTGGGGGACTTTTGAAAACATTAGTGGTAGTTGATTTTTTTTTAGTAAGAAAGCCAGTTTGTTAGAAGTCACAATTATAAGGTCAAGAATAAATACCTCAGATGTTTCTCTCAGTTTTCCCAGAATATCTTCTAAGTTTGAGAGACGCACTTCATGATCATGGTTGAAAGTCACGATGTTGGTCTGAGAAAGAAAAATGAATGAACAATTTTAAAGTTAAGCAATAAACAAAAGCTAGCCAGTTAGGCCAAGTCACTTCAGCCAGATTTTAAGGCTCTGGGGTTGCTGCATGGCTTGACACCTGGGAAAGGCATCACCTGATGGCATCCTCTATCTGACTCAAGATATCCAGCCCAAGCCCAACAGCATAGATGCTCTTCTGGTGACATGAGAGTGTTAATGAAGACCAGAAGACACTCGATGCAGAAAACAAATCAACAGTCCTCATTCAACAAAGCTCACTAGGCACCACCATGTTTAATGATTCAAAGAAAGGAACCCTAGACAGAGATCTGTGATATACTTGTTTTCCCTTGAGCATCTCACTTTCAAATAAAACTTGTAATATATTCACACTTACTAGGAACAACCCATTAGAGTGTCCCCCACAGAACCCACCAGGCGACTAAAGGAACCCAAGAAGGTGAACAGGCAGGTGGCTTTTCAGGCTTAGTGAGTCATTTAATAAATCAGAGCACCAAAAAGCAAAGAACAAAGTTTTCTGAATATTAGCTAACTGCTAAAAATAGTGGTTGGTTTCCACCAGCATCTCTGGAAACTTTTAGGAAGGTAAAATATTTGAGACCATCAGGGACACTCCCTGAGAAGGTATAGACACAGCATTGAGCCACAGGAAAAAGGGCAGTGACAACAGAGAGCAGCAATAACAGAAGCATCATGCATTCAGAATGACCATGGCCTCGGACACAAGACAAAAATGGAGGAAGGAAAACAACCAAAGTGACTGAAATCTAAGAAGAAATGGGACAAACCAGAGCAATGGGATGAAGGCCAGCTAAAGAGATGACTCCAGGTGCAGACACACATGAAGCCTGGCCCCAGCTTGGTTCTCAGAATCTCCTGAGATGCTGTCCATAGATCTGTGAGCCAGGATGAACCATCCTGTGGCTGAGCTGTACAGGGCAGCAGCCACCTGCAATGTATGGCCATTGAGCACAGTACAGTAGCCAGTGCACCTGAGAAACTACACTTGTAAAATTTTATTTAAGATTAACTTAAATTATTGAAAAAACTGACAAAACAAAAAGTTGCTTCTTGGACTGGGACTGTGGCTCAATGGCAGAGCACTTGCTTAGCACATGTGAGGCACTGGGTTGGATTCTCAGCACCATATAAAATAATAAAATAAAATAAAGGCATTGTCCATCTACAATTAAAAATATTTTTTAAAAAGTTGGTTCTTTGAAAAAAATTGATAAACCCTCAGCCATGCTAACGAAGAGAAAAATAGAAAATTCAAATTACTAACATCTGTGATGAAAAAGGAAATATCACAACAGACACTGCAGAAATACAGAAAATAATTAGAAATTATTTTGAAAATTTGTACTTCCAATAAAATAGAAAATGTCAAAGGCATTGATAAATTTCTACAGTCATATGATTTGCACAAACTGAATCAGGATGATATACACAAGATCAATTTCAAGTAATGAAATAGAAGACACCATCAGAAGCCTACCACCAAGAAAAGCCCAGGACCGGATGGGTACACAGCTGAGTTCTATAAGACCTTCAAAGAAGAATTAATACTAATACTCCTCAAACTATTTCATGAAACAGAAAAAGAGGGAACACTTCCAAACTCATTCTATAGGCCAATATCACCCTGATTCCAAAACCAGACAAAGACACACCAAAGAAAGTAACTTTCAGACCAATATCTCTAATGAACATAGATGCAAAATTCTCAATAAAATTCTGGCAAATTGAATATAAAAACGTATCAAAAAATTTACACAGCCACATGCAGCTAGTGGCATGCCTATCAGATAAACCAAACATGAGGTAAATGTGTGCAGAGGTCCACAGGAAAGCTTGCAGGGCACCAATTATCAGATAATTAGAAAACTGTACACACATAAGCTAGCTGCATGAGGATTGCTATCACAATTGCACCCATGGACAGGGGACAACATGAATAGAATGGGCTAATTCTGTATGGAAATTCAGTATGAAAACAAGCCCAAAATCCATATAACTTATTTTCTGAAACACCAGATAAATTGATTTTCTTCTTTTTTTTTTTTTTCCCCAAACTGGGGATTGAACCCAGGGGCATTTAAACATTGAGTTACCTGGCCAGCCCTTTTTATTTTTTATTTTGAGAAAGGGTCTTGCTAGTTGCTTAGGGCCTCACTGAGTTGCTGAGGCTGGCCCTGAACTTGTGATCCTCCTACCTCCACCTCTCAGGTTGCTGGGATTAAAGGCATGCACCACAGTGACTGGCTGCCTTGGGTTTTCTTTTYTTTTTTTTTTTTTTAATTTTAATATTTACTTTTTTTAGTTTTCGGCAGACACAACATCTTCGTTTGTATGTGGTGCTGAGGATTGAACCTGGGCCGCACACATGCCAGGTGAGTGCGCTACCGCTTGAGCCACATCCCCAGCCCTGCCTTGGGTTTTCTGAACAACTGTTTCTTCACAGGAAAGGGCTACCCTGTAACCAAAGGTCACCAGACCATTTTGAGCCATTCTGAGGGCCTAGTGCCTCGGGCTGCCCCACCAACACTCTCTCTGGGAAGTCACTGCCAAGCCACTGCACGCCTTCAGGGACTGCACTCAGCCACCTGTACCAAGAGGATCCCACTGCTGGCTCTTCACCAGCACCTGTTTCTAAGCTGAGCTAGTCTCAACCCTTTCTATACTTTTACCACATCTGCAAAGCAGCAGCAAAATTCAGATTTGTGGTTTTCTTTCTCCCTTCTGTCTACAAGGCTTGAAAATGGCCAACAGGAACAGAACAATACTATGCCAATTGGATCTTACTGAAATCTTTTCAAATTTATGGTTGAGAAACTAAAAATAAGTAAATAGGGAGGAACCAAGTGTGACACCCAGGTATTCTTTGAGTTGATACAAAAACTCCAGGAAAGACATTCTGGGACTACTCAAAGCAGGTGGGAACACTCTGGGGGCCTCAGGGCCCCTTGGTGTCAGCACATCAATAATTCAAACACCTCATGCCAAGCCAAAGTTGAGAAATTTAAGGAAATAGACTGACAAATGTTTTTGTGAAAGTGGAAACCCATTCTCATCTGCCACAGGCCTATGGTTCCACATGGAATAGCAGCGACTCTTAACTATCAACCTCATAGTCTTGAGAAGTTTTCATTCAGCTCACCAACCTGAACTTTTAAACTACTGGTGACAGGGAAATAAATGCAAATCAAACCAGTGCTAGCAGAATAAGTAAAAGTGTGAACAAGATTTCTTTGTTTGTAAAAGCTGACAAGGGCGGTGGTAATTCCTAGGACAGGAAGCCAAGTTTCTCCCAGGAACTTCTGAGTCTTACCTCAGTGCTTGGCAGCCCAGCAAGGCCCATCTCTCGCAGGTGCTGTGTGACTGTGTCCTTAACCCAGGATGACAGCCCTTCCCTGCCGTCGTCCATCTGGTTCACCCGCACCTGCAGCTTCTGGAGCAAGACTGTCAGCTCTTTGAGTTTCTGGTCATGGTTGTGGCACTGTGCAGTCAGAGAGGCCACCTGATGCCCCATGTCACTCTCTTGATGCCACTGGGAAGCCCTGTCATCAGCCTAAGACAAAACCAGGTATTCTCAGTCAACACTGATAGCCATTCTAGCAAGATGCCAACAACAGGGCATCCACACAGGAGGGAAACATGCCAAGCCTTGATTGCTGGCAACTACCCTCACATGATGACTACAAGTGGTCATCATTTCATTCTTCATAMGGTTCTGCAGAAATAGATATTCTGCATAGAAATAGATATTCTGATAGAAAACAGTAGATATTCTTTAAAACTAATTGACTATGAGATTATTTAAATACACATTATCTGAGCTACTTCAGATCATTTTAGGAACTATACAATTTGCTTATTTGACATTTAACAATACTTTCTATACGGGCCCCCAACTAAGCCACTCTGTTCACAGGCCGTTATGCAACTTACACTGAACAGCACATACTTGCGATGTCAGCAAGAATATCCACACTGTTACCTGCAGAGGCTGGTTCAGGTAAGAAGCCCCAGGTCTGAACATGTCCTTAGGGTCATTGGTCCTGTGTGCTGAATGCACATTTGTCCAATTTAATATAGGCAGGAGTGAAAGGAAGTCACCCTGGCCCCACAGGGAGATGCCTGCACCTTGAAAGAGAGAAAACAGTTATGCACACATATGCACAGGGCTTCCCATGCACTGAAATGAGCGATTCCCACACCAAGTCACCTGTGTTCCCATGAGGATCATCTAAGGCAGTGAAGCAAATTTTACTTACCTAGTAAAAGTAATAGTGGAATGAGCAGAATTAAAAACTTGCAAATATTTCGAAGGCACCTGGGAATAGAAATAAAAACATTTAACTTGGGAAAAGAAAAAGGCAGGGTTCACTATTCTATTTCTGTCTCTCGATAATTTTATGCAACCTACCCCCCAACAACATTAGAAACGCATGATAGTTTTATCTCCAAGGCTTGGATATACCTACAGGAGACTATTCCTACAAAACACTCAGATCATCTGCAGTGGAGGTCCCAGGCTAGAGTCCAAGTGCCCACATTGCTAAGCCTAGTCACTGCAAGCTGAGGTGAGCAGGTGTGCTGGTTTGGGCTCTAGACTGACTAGACCTCTAGCTGGGTGCCACTCACACTGTTCCTCTCCTTCACAATAATACCCACCCTTCCCTCTCACAAAAATCAAGTATGAACATGAAAACACTGTAAAATACAAAAATGAGCTGGGAATCTAGCTCAGAGGCTGAGCATTTGCCTAGCATGTGAAAGGCAATCCCCAGGACAAATACACATATAATTTGTAATTATTCATAAATAAATTTAAGAAATAAACATACCAAATAACAAAACAATGTAAATATAAGCTAAATCACTATAAAAATAACAACTCAAACAACAGCCTGCAACTGGCACAGAACTACTTCCTTTTTTTGGTACTGTGGAGTGAATCCAGGGGCACTTAACTACTGAGCCACATCCTCAGCCCTTTTTTGTATTTTGTTTAGAGATAGGGTCTCACTGAGTTGCTTAGGGCCTTGCTAGGTTGCTGAGGCTGGCTTTGAACTCGCAATCCTCCTGTTTGGCCTCCTGAGCCACTGGCATTACAAGTGTGTGCCATCATGCCTGGACAGAATTGGTTCTTAGAACACCATGCTGGTGTGGTATCAGTTTCCTTACCTTGTAAGAAGAAACACATTCAGCCAGGAAATCAAAGTAACAAACTGGTACCATCCAATCCCTAGCCACCAAAGCATTCCGGAGGCTGCCTTCCCTGAGAGAGAGAAAAGGTTAAACATTCTGAGGAAATGTGTATAAGGAGCTGAGCTCCCAGGTGGGCTATGAAGACAGAACGAGAAGCAGAGGAAACTTGCTCATAGGTTTCCTGGGAGTGTGTTAAGATGAGTCAGTGAGGGAGGGGGTGCACAGAACGATGCTGGGGCCACAATAGGAGAGCAAGGTTCAATGTTGACAAGCACACAGATGAGAGTCCCAAGGAGGCATCACGTCCATGCACCTTGTGTACATGAAAGCTGAGCAACAGACTTACACACAACCCAACATATCAGAGCAAAAAGAATGCCCATGCAACCCCAAGTATAAGATGTTAACATCTCTAAGTAAGAAGAATAGAATATGTTACATTGAGGATCAAAGCATGGGAACCTACAATGAAATTTTTATTTGGTTAGGTGAATTACTTATTGCAGGTTCTTAGCTGCCAAAAACTTTGGCRAGAATGCTAACATGGAAACCCAAAATAACCACCTGGAGCAACAACAGCCAACCAAAGGACCGACCGCACTGTCTCGGACACAAGCCATCCAGCAGCTCCAACCCTTCGCAGCATCTGCACCAGGAAGTGACCTGCGATAGATGAGACAGGAGCAGGAGGCACCTGAGATAGGCAGCAGAGTGCCTGCCTACACGTTGACAGCTCAACAAGAAATACACTGCAATATATGCTCTCGTTGAAGTAAGTCAGAGGTCTCTCCTCAAGGGTAAATCAACCTTTCAAGTCTAAGCAAGATATTCAGTGAAATTAACTAATGAAACCCCTGCTATTTTTAAATAATCTGTCATTTACTCCTGAGTGCAGATACTGAAAAGGTAAGATGTATACATCCCCTTTTTAAGACCCAGGACAGAACTAGAAGCTGTCCTATAAATGCTGGCAGTTGGTGAAAGCAGAATTTTGTGTTGGAAAGATAATGCAATCTTGGAGAGATATTGAAATTCCAGACACCAGCAGTCACGTGTGCTGGTTGAGCAAATGATTACTCAAAGACCACAATGAAAATTATCTAAGAGGCAAATATTTTCCAGTAAAAAAAAAAGTATTTTGGAATGATGGACTGGGCCCGGTAAATTTAGCCACGAACAACACATGCTACATAAGGCAGAAAACTCATAAAATCAATTTTGTTCCATTTTTTCAAGAGCAATTGTTGGAGGTCTTACCCTCATAATAACTTAATATCTACATGTTGACTCCTGAAAYTACTAAGCCATTTCAGTGTGCTGATACACAAAGAAATATAGCTTCACTGTTTCATGTTTATTAACTGCTATGAGACGATTATAATTTTTTAATTTTTATTATTATTATTTTTTGGTACCAGAGATTGAACCCAGAGGTCTTAACCACTAAGCCATATCCCCAGCCCTTTTGATATTTTATTTTGACTCTAAATTCCTTATGGGTGAAGTTGTGAGGTTGGCTTTGACCTTGTAATCCTCCTGCCTCAGCTTCCCAAGCTTCTGGTATTATAGGTGTGTGTCACCACTCTAGGTTGAGGTACCCTTCTTTGTGTACACTTCCTGGACACAGTGAGATGGCCATGCAGTGAGGGGCAGCCAGCAGCTACAAGCACAGACTCCAACACAGGAGGCAGCAGGCCTTTTCTCAATTTGTGTTCTCACTTTTAATAAACTGCTTTCCATACATCTAACTCATCCTAAATAAACTTACAAAGAAGCTTTTCAACAAAGAGTCTCCATTTTTTAAAAAAAACACAGTTGATGTTACTTCTGCCACTTTTTAAAATGCTTTAGAACTTTTGAATTGCAAACAAATTAAACAAAAACAGTGGCCCTGTCACGGCATGAGACAACACAAACAAGGTACGAAACACAACCTGCATGGGTGAAGAGGCGCCCCACGGCCCCTGCCACCCTGCGTGGCCTGGACAGCTGCAAGTGGGCGGCTGTGTGGGTCTCAAGGTGCTTCTTTCCCTTACAGTCGTCGCCTGTGGGTGTGGGGACAAGCAGTGGAGTGACAGATTAATATGCAAACCCTGTCAATTACAATAGCTGGAAAAGCCAGGAGACTTGATTTCCCAAAAAAATGATAGCAAATGCAGCCTGTGGTGATTTAGCAATAACTGGGGTTTAGCAATAACTTTAACAGCATGTCCTAATTTTGAAGCCACCAAGCTCCTGCAGGCTGCTCATTCTCCATGGTTAATGGCTCCATATTACAATGGGGGAGGAGGCACTTCCAAGACCAACTGCTTRTGTGGGAGGGGAGTCGTACTCACACTGGGACTCCCCATACACACTGGTGTGGCCATCCTCTCTGGAAAGCTCTCTGACAGCCATCCTCCCGAGGTAACTGCGATGAGCTGCAACACATGTGCAAGAGGCTTAGGAAGCTCACTGCAGGAGCTCAAATGCTTCCTATGCCCCACAAAGCCAGAGCAACAGAGAGGCTTCCCAGGGATTCAGAGTCACAATGAGGATGAACACAGGCGACAAGGCTTTGGATATGACAAGAGACTGTAAAGCCTCCAGCTTAATAATAAGCATGGACAATACCAAACAAAGACTGGCTTGCCTAAAAATTTCTTGAAACATGATTCTAAATGACATTCAAAGAAACTGGTTTTGCCTTCAAAAGGTAATCATCAAAATCAAAGGCTGAACAATTCACGATAGCAAGATTGTGGAATCAGCCTAGATGCCCTTCAATAGATGAATGGATTAAAAAAATGTGGCATTTATACACAATGGAGTATTACTCTGCATTTAAAAATGACAAAATCATAGAATTTGGAGGGAAATGGATGGCATTAGAGCAGATTATGCTAAGTGAAGCTAGTCAATCTTTAAAAAACAAATACCAAATGACTCCTCTGATATAAGGGGAGGAAACAAGGACAGGATAGGGACGAAGAGCTTGAGACGAAGATTTTCATTAACAGGGTTGAGAGGTGGGAGGGAAAGGAAACGAGAAGGGGAATCGCATTGAAATGGAAGGCGATCCTCAGGGTTATACAAAATGACATATAAGAGGAAAGGAGGGGTAAGACAAGATAATTCAAATGGAAGAAGTGATTTACAGTAGAAGGGGTAGAGAGAGAAAAGGGGAGGGGAGGGGAGGGGAGGGGGGATAGTAGAGAATAATATAGACAGCAGAATACATCAGACACTAGAAAGGCAATATGTCAATCAATGGAAGGGTAACTGATGTGATGCAGCAATCTGTATACGGGATAAAATTGGGAGTTCATAACTCATTTGAATCAAACTGTGAAATATGATGTATGAGGAACTATGTAATGTTTTGAACGACCAACAATAAAAAAAAAAAAAAATCAAAGGCTGAGTATATTAACTCTTTATTTAAAGAAAAGGAACTTTTAAAATATTTAAATAGTGGCCACCTTTCAGGAAGGTGAGCTACACATAGCACATTAACATTCCCACAAGCTCCCACGATAAAAGATCACTAAAAGCAGCTGTGAGGGGGCAGTGCAGAGACCCGTGACAGAGCCAGAAAGAGCTTGCAGAGGAGCAGCGTCTTCTCCACCTTGAAAGCGAATTTGGTAGAGAAGGGAGGAATAAATATTTAAATACCTCTTGATTCATGGTTTTTTGACTTACAGCTTTCTGGTTCATAATCTTTTGATTCATAACTTTTCAATTTATAATTTTCTGATGCATAATTGAGCTTCATTAAAACCACTTGAAAAAGTTGAACTAAGAATGATGAAAAAGATGACGAAGTGTATTTGGCCAGCCACAAAATACTATCCACGTAGAGAGAAGCACCGCCTATTAAAAAACCGTGAACACACGTTATTTCTTCCCACAAAGCCAGCATTTTCTCCCCTGATTGGCCAAAGAGCTAAATCACTAATTTCAGGAAAAACATAAACAAAACACTTTTTAAATGGACACCAGAGAGGACCACCTATGAGGAGTATCCTGATCAGAGACAGAGCTGAAAAAGGAGTCGTTGGTTGGTCCAGTCTCTTCCATAAGGTATCCACTGTGGGACCATCCCATTCAGCACTGTCTACACACACAACACGACATTTACATGTTGCCACACAACTGCCTCTGCCATGACCTCTGCCCTACCAGTCTCTAGAGTGATTTTAAAGCAAAATTTAAAATAGGGTTTTATAATTTTCAAAAGAATTATATTTGTGAGCTGGAATCTTGTGAGAAAACATAAACCTGGGTCAACTAGCCCCAGGCCAATATTGTTTTACATAGACGTACAAACTTAAAAAAAAAAGTGGGCATGGCTGGGGATATGGCTCAAGCGGTAGCACGCTCGCCTGGCATGCGTGTGGCCCGGGTTCGATCCTCAGCACCACATACAACAAAGATGTTGTGTCCACCGAGAACTAAAAAATAAATATTAAAAAATTCTCTCTCTCTCTAAAAAAAAAAAAAAAAGTTTTGAAAAAAAAAAAGAAGTGGGCAAAAATAACAAAAAAAAAAACTTATTTTCTTTTTCACTAACAGAAATTGAGTCCAGGGTGCTCTATCACCAAGCGTTCCTCAGCCTTTTATTTTTCATGTTGAGACAGGGTCTTGCCAAGGCTGGCCTTGACGTAGTAAATCTCTTGCCTCAGCTAGAGTTGCTGGAATTATAGCATACCCCACTGGCAAAAATGACAAAAATTTAATTAGAGGTAATGCATGTCACTCTTATTGATAATCAAAAACATTAAACTTCATTTTTCTTCCATCAATTGTCAAGATTCAAACAGGACAAAAATATGAAAATTGGCATAAGTACAGTGGGTGCAGCTCACTGCAGGGTACATGCTCAGCATGTGCAAGGCCTGGCTTCTAACCCCAGCACCAAAAGCAAAAGAAGTGCAGTGGGACCCTTATTCCATAGTAGGAACCTGGGCTGGCCTTCAATGAAGGTAAATAGAAAAATGTCTATTTAGTGTCACTGGGAGGTTGAACTTAGAGGCATTCTGCCACTGTTACATCCTCCTTTTTATTTTTTATTTTCAGACAGGTTCTTGTCAAGGCTGGCTTCAAACCTGTGCTCCTCCTGGCTCAGCCTCCTGAGTCACAGGGATTACAGGAGTGTGGCACCACGCCTCACTTGGAAAACTAAACTGTATTTAAATTAAAATTGCACATAATCAATAACATATTCTTGCTACTTCCAGCTTGTCTACAGGAGAGGCTTACACACAAATACACATGTACAAACAAACACACTGAAGAAACAATGTTTTTAATGGTGTAGAAAAGTAAACCTGGGGCTGGGGGTTGTGGCTCAGCGGTAGATCGCTCGCCTTGTATGTGCAAGACCCTGAGTTTGATCCTCAGCACCACATATAAATAAAAAAAAAGCTTAAAAAAAATGCTCAGGAACTGAATAAATTTAGATACAACCACAAACATTGTGATAAGTACCCCCCCAAAATGAAGCTAATCTCAACTAACACATGTAAGATGAAAATGGTTATGAAATGACATACATACTATGACAGCATTTAAGTGAAGACACAGGGTATCTCTCTCTTCATAGTACATAAAAGCAGAACTGAGGTGTTGGCTGTACAACTCTCTGAATACACTAAATTCCATTTGATTGTACCTTTAGGATGGTTAATGGTTAATTTTATGTTATATGAATGTTAAGTCATTTTAAAAAAGCAAAAGAATACGCTTAGAAAAGGAGACAATCTAAGTTAGCTCACGTGCTTGATACCCCGGGCACTCCTAGAGACACTGGAGGCTCAGGGCCAAGCTCCTTCACCTACAGCAGGCTTCCTAAGCTGACCGCACCTATYGGCCCACCTGTTGTGATTACCTGTGCAGAGTGCGGGCCCAGCACAAGCACTCAAGTAACGTGTGCTGACATATTTGAGCCTACATGGTCCTCAAATTATTATTAGGAAACTCACATATCATTTTGATTCTGCCATCTACTCCTTGCCCTTTCATGCTTTCTTATTTTGTTCTATTAATGCTGACAGTGTCCATAATGCCACAGCAGAATAAGACCTGAAAAATAACTTAAAAGACACTAGAAATAAATGAGGACTATATTCTTCGTCCTACTACCATCCTTCATTATGTCTAGTCACTGGAAAGTACAAATTGAGCACTAGGGTGGCGCACAGGCAGACATGCCCACCTCTGGGCCATCTTGCTTCTCCAGGCTGCCAGGCTGGGGCTCCACAGACAGGCACAAGAATTCAGAAGGAGACAACTCCCACCAATCAGGGCTTGTCTCTTCCTGCCATAGGTGTGACCTCAGGATAGGGTCATGAAAGGTATAGAGTCCCCAAGCTTCCTGCGACACCACAGTTACACCTGTAACCTGGAAAGGGGGTCTATGGCTGTCTCCCTGTGAGCCCAGAAAGCCCCACTGTCCCGACACCACAACCCCAACCACTGTCATGACCACCAGACCAGTGACCATATAGTGCTGAGAGCCATTGCCAAGTAGGAATGACGCATCGAAATTTTCTTGTCAGCCTACCCCATGTTGCTTAGAGGAAGGACTCTCCATTGTGGAAATGGGCTTGTCTTAGACTCAGATCATTTGCAGTGACATTGCATGTATGCTTGAGTAAGGTGACCTTGCTCAAGGACCAGGGCGAATCCTGGTTTAGGGCGGATCAGGTTTTAGGGAGTATCCCGCTCCTTGGGTTTAGGGCGGTTCCAGGTTTAAGGTGTACCCTGCCGGGGGGAATAGGGCGTATCCCGCTGATTAGAGCCTGGTGGAGTACCTGAATTTTGCCCAGAATGTGAATTTTCCCCAGAACGTGTTTGTAGAGGGCCGGTGTGAGTTCGGGAATAAAGAGTTCCTGTTTGAATCTACAAGATGTGAGTGGCTCGTGATTTTGTGCCCAGCCAGACTGCAGCACCATAGAAAGCACCTCCTCTGTCAACAGTGGCACAGACACTCTGGCAGCAGAGGTGAAAGTGCTATTACTCAAGCACATCTGAACATCTGCACACTTCCTAAAAGAGAAGGAACACATCTGGAAGTGGCTTGTTAGAGTTCACTGAAGTAGGAATTTTCCTTTGCTTACCTAAAGTCCCAACTTACAGAATTTTAAATCCTTCTAGGTATAAATACAAACCACATGAAGTGCAGGCTAAAAGAGGATAAGTACGACAAAGCTAACTTTGGGTGTATTTCTTTACATTTACAGAGGATAATTTCAAGTCAAGTCTACAACAGAAATAGTGCAGATACCGAGATTTCATGAAGTCAATTTTAGAACAAGGAAACTTGTGGTCACTGAATCTTTTTCTAACTTTAAGAGTGAGACTTACGTTTTGGGTTCCTATCCCTAGAATAAACTCTTGACGAGGGTCCTTGGGAGGCGGGGTGTGCTGTGAGAGCTTCTGTGCGCTGGGAGAGCATGCTGCAGTCCCTGCAGATGTACCCGTTGTGGGTGGTTGCGTCTGTTGCCAGGTCGCCATTTCCCTGAGTGGCAGCTTTAGTTCCACCTAAAGTTTTCAAAAAGTAGATGGAACCTGTTTATCACAATTGAGAAATTATTAACTACAACTTCTATTCTGAAAAGTATACAGAGAGAAGATCTAAAATAATTACCTTTAAGATCACCATCATCATCAAGACCTGAAAAAAACACATATTTTCACTGTTGAATAGAACAAAACCTATAGGGGTGGGGGTGGGGGTGTTAAACTTAAGTAAAGCCTAAGATGGGTGCTAAGCCAGCATCATGGCCCAGGTCAAGATTCATCTCCCACAGTGACAGAGATTTCTCTGGATGCAAGCAGGTGGAGGCTTGCCTCAAGGCCCACACATACCAACACATACTCTGACCCAAAGAGGGGGCAGGAAGTGCAGAACAGACTGGTAAGGTCACTCTCAGTAACCCACCCAGGAAGCACAGCCTCCTAACCACCAACACTGTATCTCTCTTGCCTGGCCTCAGTAGCTGAGCAAAGGAGTGAACATCAACCCCATGCTCTCTACATCAGCACACAGCACTCCTGGAACTGATCTGGTCCTCCACTGCTTCGAAAGGGTCAAGCAGAACACAAGCTGCACTTGACAAGCAGCTCCTCATTCCTCACCAAAAGGGCCACCCCCTGCTCAGCCCCAGAGGCACTGTAGCCCCCCATGGGGTGAGCATCGTCAGAGCAGCCAGCCCCTTCTCAGTGCCATTTTCTCCACACCAGAACTCCTATGACTCAGAAAATAACCCGGCTGTTTTGTTGCTTAGAGCTTTAGAGCTTTCTAGAAATATGCTGGTCACGATTTTTATACTGCCTTTGCTTAAACATCCTACAAAAGCATGCATTTAGAAAAAGTTATCGGATTACTCTGACTGATCACATAATCTTCCACATCATAATAAGCAATTACACCCTCACTAAGCATCTGGCAACAGATGGGACAGTGCCCAGTGCATTCCTACTTGAGTCTGGAGCAAGTCTGACCTCACCAATGCTCCCCTGGAGCACAGCAAACTAACCACCTGGCCATACTTTGCCTTCTTCCCCAAACAATCACAGCCCATAATGCCTCGCAGTGACTCACCCCAGAAGTGGTCCACTTTGGTCTGTTCACGAATCAGAGACTCGTCCAGCACGGGTGGCCGCGGGGCTGTAGTGCTCCGCAGATTTCGAGAGCTGCCCTGGCTGGCGCCTGAAGATGTAGCCTTCCCTGACAGGTGGTTGATACTAAATGCTGGCTTGCTTGCACTTCTGCGCTGCTTGGCTGTTCTAAACAGAAAGGAATAAAAAACAAGTTTATAGACCTTTTCTAATAAACACAAAATGATTAGTTTACCAACACAAAATCTGTGGCCAAGAATAAAGACAGCATTTAAGGTTAAACCATTTTCTTATGCCTTTCCTGCTGCATGAAATATCTATTCACCTAAAAAAAGATTTGTAAGCAGAGCCCAAGAAGTGCCTCTAAAGTCATAAACACAAAATAATTCAGATGGTTTTAGACCCAGTGATCCAAAGTAATTTAAACATAAAATAACCTAAAAATAAAAATGACCTAAAAATCTATGATTTATAAGTTCAAACCCTTTCCTTTTCTAAAAAAGCAACTGTACACACATAAATATCCCCTCCTGTTTTTTTTGTCATTAGTAAAGATTGAACTGAGTACAGCAAAAATAAGTTGTAACCTAAGATAATTTCTGCATTCATATTAACCACAAATGACAAAAAGAGTAAGCCCTTAAAAAAAATAGCGCACAAACCCTTGGGGCATTGAGTTAGCAGTGGGGACATACAGGCCAATGGAACAAGATTCTTCCCTCCTGAGACTTAGTGGTGGACAAAAACCAGCACTGACAGCAGCGTCCAAGAATTACGGCCTGAGCACAGTGAAGCCACAGCTTGGTCTCCTGTCACAGAAACCCCAATGGCTTCTGAAGGCTGTAGTGCAGCTGGAAGAGCCTGGCACTGAGGGTTACACTGTAGTCAACTGGCTCTCAGCTGCTGCCAAGCACCTGCTGACTGGGCTCTACAGAGGCCTCCGACTCCTCAAGAGAACAGCCTCAGACAAGCCATGGGGAGCACTAACAGGTCCCTGGGCAGCATGGTGAGGCGCCAGTAGTCCCACCACCCTCCTGTGATCAACATAAAGGTTCACTGTCTCTAAGTGGCACAGATTCTGCAAACTTTGCTCCTTCTTGGAACAGGAGCTGTGATGGGACAGAAAGTTCAGAGGCAAATGCACTTGACAATCAAACACAGGAAAGTACCCAAATTGCACCTCTCACCATCAACTCACACGTCTTAATAAACACATCTTAACAACAGAAACCAGCTGTGGAGCCCATGATGCTCTGCAAGCCTCCTTCCCCTCAACATTTGGCGTGCAGATGAAGTGCAGCTCATTCAAAGGACAAAGTGGCCTTCCCTGGAGGACATGGAGCACATCTGTGCCACAGGGGGTGAGCTGCCTCTCCAGAGCTCTACCACACCAGCTTTATACTGCAAAATATCCATCCCAGACACCCTCACATATTCCAGAATTAGTTTCAGTCTTTATTCATAGCAAAGATATGACTTTGTAGGATGCACTTGAGCTTGTATATGTGACACACACATACTGTTAATTCAAGAGGGACTGCATGATTTCACAGACCAAAAGAACTTATAAGCTTAGTTTTACTTAACTGGTGTTGGAAGTCATATGAAGACAAGACAAGCAGTGCTCACCTKGCAGCTCCACCCTGGAGGGAGGCAGCCCTGCTGGTGCAGGAGTGCAGGTCCACAGCCTGGCCATCCCCGCTGCTGTAGGTTGTGGTGACTAGGCGCAAACTACGACGGGACATCCTTGGAGAATCAAATACAGGGTCCAATTTGTGCTCAATCTCAAAATCCAGAGCATCAGAAGAATAACTTGAACTGGAAGGAACAAAATGTGCCAGAGATAAATAAGTTTATAGCCCCAGGGCTGAAACAAACTGAACAAATAATACATGATCTATCATGTATTTTATCATATAACAACTTTATTAGAGAGTAAAAGGCAGGTGGCACAAAACCAGCAAACAGGGGCCTGATACGTACATCCTCACCACTCCTCCTTCAGGTGCAGATGTCTAGGTTTCATGGCCAGAAGCTCCCTGAGGACGAGCTATCCATAAGAATCCCCATCTGTGGGGAATTATGTTGACAGTATGGAAATCAGTGGACACATGCTAGTAGACACCAGGCCTGACAGAGCAATAATAGGAGTGACCACGGCACGAAATTTAACCCAGTAGGCCAGGATGTCACTGAATGAGTCAACATGAGAAGAAAAGGGAAGGCCTGCCCCAGAGCCATCCACAGTACACTGGGTCTAACACTAAAGCTAGAGATGAAAGCAAAACTGTGAGTCCACGACAAAGTAACTTCCAGTACCTGCCATGCGGCCATTAGGCCAATGCAGTTAAATAGAGAGATACGTTGTGTTGTGTGGCTAGCAAGTTTCCCAAGTCAAAACACTGACCAAGTAATCTGTGTCCCTGGGGAAGACAGGTGTTACATATGCCAAGGTGCCCAATAGTGGAGACCACCCCTGCACAATCAAAAGAGGAGCTACAATTGTCTAAGGAGGAAGCTGCACACACAGAGCCCTGGCAGGGGAGACMCCTATATTCTGAATTGTGGCTCAAAAGTTCCCCACCAGGCAGGCACCCCATCCCCATGTCCACTCTGTAGAGCTTTGTAGCACCTAGCTATCTGTCGGCTACCTGTTCTCCACCACTCTCCGATGTCACCATCTCCTCCCTTCCATCTGGAAGACCCGTTTCTTCCTTCCCAGAAATGCCAGACACTGGAAGAATGCTATCTCACCCCCACCAGATCCACACAACAGCCAGTCTCAGGGTGCTTCCAAATCTTTGTGGTAGTTAGTTTTGTGTGCTGTCTTGACTGGCAATGAGGTACCCAAATATTTGGTCGTAAAATTTCTGTGTGACTAGGAGGGGGCTTCTGGATGAGATTAACATCTGAATCAGAACACCCAGAAAGCAGCAGGACCTCACAACATGGTGGGTTCAACCAATCAGGTGAAGGCCTGAGCAGAACACAAGCCAGACACTCCCAAAGCAGAAGGGAGTCCCCTCAGCCCTAAGCCTTCAACCTGGAACATGAGTTTTTCTGGGGCTGCTAGTCTGTTTGCCTTCAAACTGCAGCTGCACCTTTGGCTCTCCATCATAGCTGCTGACTCACCTGCATGTCTCAGGATTGCCAGTTCCTTGTCCTCAGTCTGTCTCCACACACCCGCACGCACACGTTACCCTGGTTTGGTTCCTCTAGGGAACCTGACTCACATACTCTTCCTTCCTTCTGCAGTGGAAGGAGAATCCTACAACCAAGCCTGTGTGCTCTGAACCAAGTTTTCCACTCTCGAAGAACCTTCCCTCCTTCTGTCATTTATTGCCCTCTCTCCTGAATCTCCAACTCTCCTTACCTGAATCTCCAACTCTCCTTACCATCAGTATCTACAGACTCTCAGCCAATCCTGTGGATAAAACAATTTCCACTCAGTGCCACACCCCTCCCCTTCACCAATTGGGCTGGCCACACCTGGCCAGCCCCTGCTTACCTTTCCTCCATTTCTCACTCCACCTGGCCACAAGTTTACCCGAAGGTCTAACTGAAGAAAGGCTGTAAATTTTACTGAAATTAAGGGTAGCTTTCCCAATGTAGAGACCCTACACATAGCACTTTCTAAAATTGTCTTTAGAATAGGTCCTAAGAGCTAAAAATAAATTACCAAGAATAACTTTCTATGCTCCACTACAGGAATAGAGAACAGTTTAACTTGAGCTGGCACACACAGGCCTCATGTGAACACACTGAGACCTGGAATTGTGAACAAAAGCTCGATTGTCAAATGTGAGCTTTAACCAACACTGTTAAGAAGTATTTTTCTTAAAACACTTGCTAATTTTCTTAAGGTTTCCTTCACATTTTCACCCTTTTTCTTATATTCTTAACAAGCCACTGAATAATGATAAAAGCACTTTCCCCATGAGCCTGATGCATCTTGCCAGGTGCCCAGATTTCCTTCCTGCTAGTCAGATCCTCACCAAACTAGCCAGGGCGGATGGGCAACTTTGAAGACTCAACTGTCAAACTTTAGGATATCAGACATGAATTAAAAAGAAATAGCACCCAACAAAAGTCACACTCTTCAAACTGTGGGCTCTCTAAAGGCAAACCCTATTCCAGGTTATCACATACACCACCCCATCTGTATAAATCCCCTAACACTGGTCACAGCCACAGACTTATTCCTGAGATCGCAGCCCTCAGGTAGGGCCTAAATCTGCTGGTCACTTGCAATGACTGGGTGCTCATGCACAGGCAAAGCTAACTCAGCCTCTGTGTCAACATGTCAGTTCTGTAATCTAATGAGACGTGAAGGCTGCAGGTTTCTTCAGTTTCACCTTCTAACCCATAGCTGGCGGTGCTCTCCAGTCCCTATATCTCCACCAACTTAAGCAACATTCGGCCTCATAGCCAGGCTCCAGTGGGCGCTGCACCTCACCTGAGTGCGTAGGTGTAGCCGGTGTTCTCCGGCACACACTGGGGTGGGGTATATGTGTGCAGCCGAGAGAAGTCCATGTTCGCCGTCTCAGATCATGCTGCAGAGGCAGAGAAAGGGTGGTAAGAACTCTGATGACATGAACCATGAGTGGTTTTTGATTTCTAACAAAGGAGACAAGTTTTCTCCGTTACAAGCCCAGGGCTTCTGCCATATCTATTCCCCACTACACCCACAGAAAAGTCATGGGAGAAATACTGGGCAGGACTTAGAAAACTTGGCACTTTCAAAGAAATATTCAAAGTACTCAGAACCCTTTTTTGAAATAGATTTTTAAATTCCTGAAGGTGTCAAAATGTTCTTAGTCTTCTGGAATAAAGTTTTATTGTTATTATCTAAGATAGAACTAATTATTCCACGGTCAGAAAGCAGCATTATAATACTTTATTTACTAGATAGCTGAAGTTTTCACAAGCACCTCAGAATCAGAAAACAAACTATGGGATGAATTAAAAAAAAAGTTTAGGACATTGATTATACTCCCCTCATAAAACAGATTATTTTTAATTAAAGGGTAGTGAGATGGGCACAGTGACACATTCCTATAATCCCAGTGACTCAGGAGGCTGAGGTAGGTGGATCACAAGTTTAAAGTCAGCACCAGCAACGTAGTAAGACCCCAATTTCAAAATAAAAATAAAAAGGGCTGGGGAGTAGCTCACAGGGCCTTGGGACTAATCCCTTAAAAAGAAAAGGCAGGGTGTGTGTGTGAGCACATTGTTCTTCAGGTTGCCATTTTAATTTCTTTGGAGTGACTCAAACTTTCCACTGGCTAAAAATATTCACTCAAGAGAACACACATGCAAAACACAAACACACAAACACACACACACACACACACACACACACACACACACACACTCTCTCTCTCTCTCTCTTTCTCCCTCCCTCTCTCTGAATTTAAGAGCCCTCATAGTAGTAATGTAAATCAAAAATCTGTTGTTGAAAAATCTAAGAAGGAAAAAAAACAAATCTAAATAATATCTTGGGCAAGAAAGTATTTATATATAAATGACTGAACTCTATAAACTAAGACAAAACTTCTTTAATGTGTATAATTTTTAAAAAAATATTACCCAAACTCCCCACCACCACCCGCCTTCCTTTCTTTTACAGTAGTGAGGATCAAACCCAGGGCCTCCTGTACCCGAGGCAAGCACTCTACCACTGAGCTACACCTCTAGCCCAACAAATATACTTTTGAAAATTAAACACTCATATACAAATAAAGAACACCGTGTGTGTATGCGAATGTGTGTATAAATGTTACTGCATCTCCTAATTTCTTTTTCGAAACAGGGTCTCACAATGCTGCCCAGGCTGGCCTCCAACTCCTGGTTCAAGAGAACCAGGTTCAAGAGGCCAAAGTCTCTCGAGGACCTGAGACTATAGGTGCCAACATTGTGCCCAGCACATCTACTAATTTCAACAAATATCACAAAACTCCTGCACATGAAGAACACCTGGTAACTCTTGGGTTCTTCTTGGGGCACCTGGCCCACCAATGCTACCAGAACACACTAGACGAGCACAGTGCACTCTTAGTTGGCTTTCTATTCATTTACACAATATTTTTTTTTGCAAGTAAAATTAACTATCCTTATTTAATTCATGTAAGGTTTAATACCTGTTTAACTGCCTCAATCTCCCCTTTCCTACTTTAATCAACACCTAGAGAATGTCAAGGTACAGAGTATCCTGCCTCTACACTTGCTCTGAGCTGTTAAGAGAGCCCTACTCCCGCTGCCCTTCGGAACAGAGCCACACCCCAGTAGCAATGTAATAATGGCTTCTGGCTGCCCTTGTGTTTGGTAATGATTCACTAGGCAACCATAACACTGGGATGAGTAATGATATCATATCCCATTACCATTTCATCCTTTAGGGTAGCTTGCCAACTGATTTGTTTTCATCCCTTCTTATTCACCATTAAAACCAAACTTCCTGCTTCATTCCCCAAAGTGATTTTCACTTTCATATTTCACTGTGCCCGCACTGTTTCCCACCATTAACCTAAGGAWAAAAGTTTACTGATTCCGACCAAGTGTCTTCTAATCAAGAGTCCACTGGTACTAGTGAACAGGGATTGGCTTCACATGCCTGAAATCTGAGAACAATGTCATAAGCAAATGAATGCAGATGCCTGTAAGCCCTAAGACCATGAGATGGAGGCACTGGAGGTGTCCCAACATTTGGGTGATGCAGACACATGTGTGCAGGCATGGACTTGGACTCCTCCTCTGCCCTGTTGCTGACAGCCCAGCCTGTAGGCTCCCTGGGTGAGGCAAGTGGGGTGGGCGTGGCTCAGGCTAAGACATGCACAGGAGAGTGTGTAGCTCTTAGAAGATGGGTGCCAGGGACAAAAGTACCCACGTACATCACATGTTCTCACATGTGTGGCCATATGAGAGACCCAGGGTAACAAAGGAACCTGAGCATCTGGCAACACACAGGATCAGCAACCACCAAGGTTCCTGCAGTCAGTGGGATGTGTGATCAACCTGGGCCACATACAGCAGAGCCCCATTCCACAATCTAAGGAGAAATGTAACTGCCAACTCTGAATCAAATCTGTTGAAGAACCAAAGCAGCCAYGTGTCATGAGTTCTACTTCCTATTTGGGACACAATAGCCTACAGAAGAGGGAGGCAGAAAAGGACCCACAGTTGGGCAAGATGCAGTTGGTAGAGGTTTGGGAAAAAGTTTGATTAATGGAACTACAAATATGACAAAGCCCACATCACCACAGAGAACCAGCGTGGACATGTGGTGACTCAGGCAGCCAGGCCTAGGGCAGGACAGCGAGAATAAGAAGGTAACTGTGGAGAAGAGACCTCACACTCACGGCTCAGCAGTTGTTGCATGTGATCACGACTTACTCTTTCTTCATTATTCCAACTCCACCTGGATCACATGGATCTTGGGTTTACGTTCTCCCATGAAACACATCAAAGCATAACACTATCTACAGAGTCCATCACTTTATTTCCTAACACTTGTAAATGAGAACATAGAGCCTGGCCCACCTGACCTGGCCTAGCCCAGCCCGACCAGACCTGAGGCGTAAGGAGATGTTCTGGCCACCCTTCATATCCCAGAACACGTACATGTGCGCACACACACACACCCCTCCAGGACAAAAAGAACAAACTCATACAAAGGAGGAGGTGTGGGCTCAGAATCCAGAAGGGAGAGGGTGACCAGCCCATCATCTCTCAAGTGCCAGACAGAACTAAACTCTCCCCACATCCTTGGTCCTTCCTTCTACCTCTCTCCCCAGCTTCTTTCCTTTCCTGTCTTCTTTCCCTTTAAACACATCATGATAAGGACTCAGAATATTTTCATTTTCAGTGTTGTATAAGACTGGACGTTAAACTGTAGGATAAAAATAAAATGAAATAAAATTTTAAAGGACTAAATGACATAATGCATGTAAGGCAGTACTTGATAGAGGCCAAATACTCAAATGCTAACCATAATCATACAATGGAATAACGTTAAATAATCTATGCTTTAAATTAAAAACACAACAACAACAACAACAACAACAACAACGATGACATTTCCCTCCTAGTTCAGCAATCCTCCAAGTGGAAGATTAACTTGCTGCTGCTCTAAATAAGCACATCAGTTAGTGCGCACAGCTCAGGCAGACGCACAGCACTGGCTCCTTACAGACACATCTGAACGCTTGGGGGTGAGATTCAGTGACATTAGTTCTACTRGTGGCTAAAGGAAGTGCTCAGTATCTCCACTTCCTTTAGGGTGGGGGCTGTTGGGGTGGGGCTTGTCTCAGACTCAGGAGAGGAATCTGCATTCACAGTCTGAATAGCAGTGACTCCAACTGAAAAGTGGATTACAAATGTTTTCAATGGCATCAGAAGATCCTGGAAAGAACCTGTGAGTCGACAAGTTTGCAAACAGACACATTACAGGAGAGGCCCCTATCTTCAGGCTTCACTCTTTTTGCTCTTGCAGTGCTCTCCTGCAGCCCTGTGTCAAGTGTCACGGTTGCTATCATCTTACTCAAGCTGTGTTCCTTATGGGTGCCTTGGACTCTATGAAGGGGATGAGTAACTTGAACCCAATTTTGTGCAGAACTCAGAAACAGGAGCTGGGCCTGCCTCATCTCAGAGAGCACCATGGCCGGGGTTCCTAAAAGTCAGCTCACTGACCAATGGAGGATCCCAGAGGGACCATGAAGAGCCGGCACCTCAGAAAACACACACTTTGGGAGATGCAGCCTAGAGAGACATCTTTGAGTAAAGGAGAATACATTGCTACCTGTCACCTAGGCAGGGYTCTCCCATTTGTCTTATGTTTTCTGGTGGCCAAGAGAACATGGAACTCAATGACAGGCAAAAGGAGAGCAGACCTAAGTTCCAAATCTAAAGAAATATCTTTATAAATATGCATGTCCTAGCATGGTTTTAAAATTAGATGTTAAGATTCTTTTTAAGTTACACCAGGTTTCTCCTTCAAAAACATTTATCTCCTATATTACAGATCGTAAGATTCACATTATATGGTAGARAAGAAAATATAAAGCCCAATTTTTGTGAATGCTCTCATAAAAATGGGTTTTAGCCACTCACATCATATTAATCACTCATATCATATGAATCTTTACTATTTAGAATGTCTGCACAACCTCATTGCAATTCAGAAAACATGGCTGCAAAAATCTCAAAAAGAACAAGTCACATAAAGTTAAAAATAGGTTTGTTCTATTTGCTCAAAGCTAAGGACCAGGAAAAAACTCTGGTTCTGAAATAAAATCAGCAATCTTTTCTGATAGGAAACAACATCAGTTCCCGATATAAATAGAAAAGGCAAACTTTAGCRTACAATCAGTGACTTGAAAAATTGTGCCTTATATGTGTAATATGAAATGAATTGCATTCTGCCATCATGTACAACAAATTAGAATAAATAAATAATTTAATAAAAGAAAAAGAAAAGGCAAACTTTAAATTTGGTGGGTGGCACTTCCTTTGGGCACAGGGGCATTGCAGTATGCCCGCCTTTAAGATGGCATTC